TCAGACTCACGGCCGCCATCTTACCGACACCGCCGCCGCCGCGCAAGGCCTGCCGGGACAGGACGGCACCCCCCGCGGGGCCGAGGGCCGCGGCGGCGCTGATTGGCCAGGCGCGGTCACGTGGGCGGGAGGGCTGTCAGCGCCGCTCCCCCGGGGTGTGGCTGCCGCTGCGGCGCCCGTCGCGTTCGGGTACCGCCTGGGTTGGGGCGGCTGCTGCTCTGTGAGCGCCAGCGCCTCACCGCCCTTCAGAGAAAATCCGTCATGGGACCTGACTGCCCCTCTTTTGGCTTAAAGCCGCTTCCATTGCTGGGTGGACTGAGGCTGAGTATCTCATTCCAAAGTGGCATTTGTGGATTTAAGCGACATGTCTGCCCCCTTCCAGCTCCGCGCTCCTTGCAGGAGATGCAGCACGTGAGGACAGCATTGGATGTTCTAAAGGCATTAACGGCACTTAAAACTGAGTTTTACTGCATCCATTCTGTGCCCCCCTCCTCTGCTCCCTGTCCTACACATATCGCTCCCGCCTGCTGGCTGACAAAAGCTGGCGTCTGTACGCCTGACTAAAGGGCGCCGCGGAACATCGCGGTGGGTGATTTCCTGCGGGCGGGGCGGGGCCTGCTTCCGGGGACGGGGCCTGGATCAGGGGCGACTTCCGGGGAGCACCGGAAGCTGCGGGTGGAGGCGGTGGACTGGAGCGGGGGCAGCCCTACTTCCGGGGGCGGGGCCTGAGGCGGCTTCCAGTCGGCGCCATGGCCCGCAAGAAGTTGTACCGGCCGATCGCCGCCATGGCCAAAAAGGTGCGCGAGTATCGAGCGCTGAAAGAGCGGCCGCGGGATTCACAGCGCTTCGCTCTGGACTACGAGACCATGAGACGGCCGCTGACGCAGAAGCGGCTGCCGGTGCTGGCCTGGGAGGACGTGCGGCGCGAGCAGCGGCTGTTCTCACTGCTGTGCCGCCTGCCGCTGTTCGGTGTGGGCCGCGTGGTCACCCGCAAGTCCTGGCTGTGGGCGCACGATGAGCCCTGCTACTGGGTCATCACCAAGGTCCGCGCAGACTACACGGCCGAGGTAACGACGGCGCGGGGCGGGGGGGCTGCGGGGCTGCGGGAGCCGCGCCGTTGCGGCCCTGAGCCTCCGTGATCTTCACTGCAGGGCATGGACCACGGCAGGGCTTGGGGCCGGCTGACGTTCCGAGGTAAGGCCTCCCGGGAGGGGTGGGGGCTGAGCAAAGCGGCTCCCGGCCATTGGTACCAAATGCCGCGGTCCGGCGCTCCCGGAACGCCTCCGTAAGGGACGTTATGGGGAAGCCGTAACGCGGAGCTCGGGCCCTGCGCTCAGGGCTGAGGTGATGGGCTGCTTGTAGACCTGGAATGCAAAGCGTGTGCTGAGCACGCGGGGATGTGCCAGGTAGAGTCATCGGTGGAGCAGCAGTGGTGGCAGGGTGGCTTCTGGATGGGACTGTAAAATAACTCTTAGAGTTGCATGTTTGAATTCTCCAATTTTTAAGCTGCTTCACACTAGGTTTATAAATCTGGTCTATTAGAGCTTTTGAAACACTTCTCATTCAAAGGTTTTAAAGTTGTTGAGTATTTTTGTCATTGAACTTCACGGTGTGGAGATGCATTGCTTTTGTTCTTTGCCATGGAAACTAAGGCAGAGGGAGAGGTGACTCCTTGCATGACAAGTCATGACGTCTGCACAGTATGGAGCAGCTAGCACGTGTCTTTTCAGTCTGTTCCTGGTCAGATTTCCAAGGACTGAAGTGGGATCCCATAGTATAGCAGTGAGGATATCATATGATCTTTTGAAAATTTCCTTTATTGTTGCTTCTTTCAGTATCTGTGGCACAGGAGAGCTGATACTTGCTACAGTGTCTGGAGAGAATCGGTTGCTGAGAGCATTGTCCGCTAACGTTCATCTTTTATCAGGTAAAACTGAAGAAGAAGACAGAGAGATTGACAAAGTCATGTATCACGACTGGCGAATGGTGCCCAAGCACGAGGAGGAGGCCTTCAAGAAATTTACCCCCGTGCCAGAGGAGAGCTGTCGGTACCTCCCATACCCACCTTTGCTCCGAGCCATGATCCTCGCTCAGTGGCAGAAAGAGGGGAAAGAGATCACAGAGGAGCCAATGATTGACCTGCAGAGGACCTTTCACCTTAAGGCTGCAAAGAAAAATGCTACAGGGACATCCTTGTAACGTCCTGCTCTGTGTCCTGAGCTTCCCACACGCTCCTGCTTCGTATTGGCAGATCACCACCTTACTGAAGCCCCCCTTGCCTACTGTGGTACAGTGTGTCCAGTTGATATCCAGTTGACCTTGTTTTCTCCCCTGGACTGTATGGTAATCTCATCTGAAATTGAATATGAAGATGCATTTGGATTTTATTTTTTTCCCCTCATAACTTTGGTCTCAGATTCACTGTATATTCTCTGAACTTAGAGCTCCTGTCATCCAGCTACAGTGCTTGGGAGCACAGTTTCATTTACAGCCTGAGAATCTAGGAGTTTATAAAGAACATTTCTGAAGCAGTTTATAAGTTCTACATGATGGAAAAACTACTAAGTTAAGTATGACATTATTTCACAGAGCCAAAATAAATTATTTCTTATTTCCACATATTTCTAAGAAAATCTGTTCTTTGGGGGGTGATTTATTTATTCAGTGCCTGGAGCTCAGCATGATGGTTTGCTGGGGGTCCAAACTTAGCCTTTGCAATACAGGTAGAGCATCACATTCCTCTTACCACTGCAGTCTCATCTCATTTACTGACATAAAGCTGCAATAAACAGCATGGCAGGAACACAGCTGAACTCTGGATTCTGAGCATGATTCCCAGCAATGGCTGTCAGGAGATGAGAGGAATCATTTTAATTCTGATCACGGAAGGTATACAGGATTAGCTCTTAGTATTTGAAGCCAGTTGCGAAATATCACTTGTTCTGGTGCAGCACATTGTGGTGAAAGTTACAAAAATGCATCTTCTTAGTGCAGAGCTTACGTTTTCATTTCTTCTCCCAATGGTTGTGGCTTTGGTGCAGTGTCAGGAACCATTGTGGTGAGGGGTTCCAGTTTGGTTGTGCGTGGAGGAGTCACAAGAGCTGTTCAGCTCCTTGCAGTTCAGCATTTGGCACTTCTGTCTGAGAATTGCTGTTGCATTTGCAGCGGCATCCTAAAATCACAAGTTGCCCAAAGGGATTTACTGAAGGAAAGCAAAAATGTGACTCTGTGCCCTCTGTCTGCATGGCAGGCCTCAATGACACAAGGTAGTTTGGCTGCAGCTGCCAGAAAGGCTGTCAGCAGGCAGAGCAAACAGGTCAACAGCTACCTGTCCTTCACAGGTTTCCTCACCAAAGGCTCATGAAGGCTTAACATGGATGAGGGCTTTCACGTGGGTTAACAGCTGGTCCTATAAGCTATAATAGTTGGGAAGCACTGGGCTCTTGCTCCTGTGCTGTGGAAGACTGTAGGGTTCAGAAGGGCTTTGAAGCAGTGGGAGCATCCATAGGAGGCAAGTGCAGAGTGCTGATAATGCATTAATGCTGCCATGGGCTGAGACGTCCAGCTGCAGCTCGTCCTTAGTCACGATGGAGGTGCTACAGAAACAGCACAGCACCGAGGAGGGAAGAGGAGGGAGGAGCAGGATGGGGAAAGAAAGTAGCTCTGGGTTCAGAAGGAGCAATCCTATCCTCAGCCCTGCATGGCCTGGCTGAGCAGCCAGCACTTGTGGTGCCCTCTTCCAGAAACCCGCAGCAGCAGAGCATCCACCAACAGCCAGAGACAAAGCAAGAAATGGGTCAGGCCCAGGGCATGGATGGGGAGCCTGGGCAGGAGTAGAAACAGATGGGATGGGACCTGCTTCCAAACCTGGCTTTTGAGGTTCTGCCAGCAGCCCAGGATCACTGCTTGGTGGCCCCATGCCCTGCCACGTTGTGGACACAGCTCCTGAGATGAGGGGCTCGGGCCTCCAGTATGGCTCCTGCAGGAGCTGCAGGGCAGGTCTACAGGGCTGCCGGCTGACCCCTGGCAGGGTGTCCTTGAGGAACCCTTCTGCTTCATCACCTTTCTGCTTAGAGCACACAGCTCCTGGGCAGCCAGATCTCCTGCTCCAGGTTCCTCTCCCGGAGCTGGTTTACAGCTCCCAGCACACTACAGAAGTCACTTCAGACCTGCAAGGCTTGGCCACTTTTTTCCATAAGGCTGTGGGCTCTCCCCCAGGTCTATAAGGGCAGCAGATGGGGATGGCCTATTTAAGCTACAGTGAGCACAGCAGTTAGCACCAAGTGCGTGAGCCAAGTGCTCTGTTCTCAGGGTGCTGCACCAAACTACTTGTGTCACTGCTGCTATTTGCAATTTTACGTGCACGCTCTTAGGATGCAGGCAGTGCAGCTAATGAGGAAGCAGCTCATCATGCAATTAAAGTTGTCTAGGAAGACAGCAGTAGCTGCTCAATGCAGTTCAACATAAAGACTGACAGCTGGTAATTGACCGAGTCAGTATTCATAATCTTAGTAATTTTCACTCCTTTTCTGTCTCTTATCTATTACTGCTGTATGTACCCCTTGAATAAATTCAATTCTACAAAATAAATATGAGCTTATCTAAATACTGCTGGGATTGGGAGGAACAGCTGAACTCGCCTTATCAAGTGCTGAATGTCACCATTCCTATTGCACTGTCAACGACCACCTGGTATCGGCAGGGAACTGATGGAAGATTCCCCACAGCCTGTCTGAAGGGGGTCCATAAGGACACGTGGACAGACTGCAGCTGGAGGACCTGTCTTTTATTTCTGACACTGAGAGAAGCCACAATGTGCACTGGCTTTGAAGGCAGTGTCTTGCAGGACCAGCACCTCCTCAGACAGTGAGGAACACGCATCTCATTTCTTGCCAGCTGCTGAACAGGAGCCATTCCCACCATTTTAAGTGTCGTGATGTTCCTAAAGGCTGAGCGGAAATCCAGTGACCTTTCCAGCAACAAGACCTACCAGCACTTGCTGATGTTAACACATTTATTACATACAGAACAGATATGGTTTGTTGTTTGATAGCGTAGGGAAAAAAGCATGGGAACGTATTCATACAGCGGTCTCTTTACAGAATGCCATCTTCAGACCAAACAGCGGAGTTTACAGGCCTTAAGACACTTTTTAAAATCCTTTTGTAACATACAAGATACTTTACATACATCACAGTGGAGATATGACAGGGAAGTGTGTTGAAGCCAGTCAGTTCTCACCTTGCTGCCCAGCAGCCACCACATCCCAACAGGAGCTGATAGCAGAGGCTGAGCTGGAGCCACCCCTCCGACACGTGTGCTTCTCCTGGAGGAAACCAAGCACCAAACTGGGAAGGAACCTGCTGGCAGAGGCCCAAGAGTGGTTTCCTCATGTTGCCATGGACCAGTGGGTGACAGAAGACTGAATATTGTCACTTTTACTGCTAAAACCAGATAGAGAACAAATTGTAAGAGGTAAGAACGTTACAATCCTGTATTTTTACGCTGAAGGTTTGACATGCCTAAAGAATTGCATTTGCCTTTAAATGACACCAAAGCGTGCCATTTTCCTGGCTCTAACTGTTAGATATCTGTGGAATCTGCTGTCTCAACATCTGTTACTGCACCCTGTGCCGTGACCCAGAGAGCCTGTTCTAGCAGAAAGCATTCTGGGGATGAGTGAGCACTGCCCCAAGTGAGATGTCTCCTCTCAAATATTCTCCTCTACATGAATGGCTGCTTGCAGTCAGCCAAATGCAAGCCACAGATCCTGGCTTGAAGATACAGCCCAGCTGGCTTCCTACCTCTGCAAGGAGCAGTGTGGGTCATCACGTCACCAGCTGCTCAGGCAGTGTGGGCAGCACCGTGGCCCCATACTTTGATGGCTGAGGCCTCTGCACCCTGCGTATGTCTTCTTGCCTCCCTGGATGGGAACTGTGTGCCCCAGCCTTTTCTGAACTGAGCATCCAAAGACCATTTCAGGGTTGCTGAATGAGGACAGATGTTAAAACTTCCCCAGTGAATGCTGTGTTCCTGCAGCACACAAACAGCTGCAGACCACAAGGCTTGAGAGCAGCCTGGACCATGACAAGCAGCACAGGTCTTGTTCCTCAGAGATGGAGGTGGACATCCTTGGGAGATCCACAGTGCTGCACAGCTCAGGAAACCAACAAGACAGCCACCAGGATCTTCTAAATTCATTGCTAACAGCTCTTCTTTGTAGAGGAAGGAACTGCTGCAACTGTCAGAAGGGGAAAACAAACCACTGCCTCTACATCTGGAGCTGCCACACTTTCAATATGGAGCTTAAAACTGTTCTCCCTGGCTGCATTTTTGGCTGCTTCTCCTACAAGCAGGACACACAGCTTGCACAAGGAGCGCAGTCAGAATTTCTCTCAGAGGCTGTCATTCTTTAGAGGAGTAACAGAGATCCAGCTTTTCAAACCACTCACTAACCAATTCAATCAGTGCTTGTGATGCTGAGTAAAAGGAGCTGGGAGATCTGGCCTCAATTCCCTTATCTGCATGACCTCAGGCAAGACACAGCCTGTACACCTTGACTGCACCTACAGAGTCTTTCCTAACCTGACAGCCACTGTCTAAAGGAAAACAGCCACCTCCTTCCAGCAGGATGCCAGCAGTTCCCAGCAGGACGGGGTCCTGATGAGTCGAAGTAATCTCAGTGTGTTAATGCAGAATTCACAGCAGACGAACATTATCTGCCACTGCCTCTATTTTAAAAGCCAGTAAATCCTATGTAGAGATAACTTTCTCCTAAAGCTTTCAGGCTCACAAAACGAATGAACTCAATTCTTTCCTGCTTGACTTTTTTTTTTTTTTTAGAGAAGGGAGTTAAAATATCACTGCCTTTTCCCCCTTTAAAATAACAGGGTTCCAGTACTTCTTTGTTAATAGTTTTGAAAGGCCCCACGGCTTCCACAATCAACCATCTGTCACCCACCTGAGGCTACCAAACAATCCCCTCTAGACACATGCCGTCACCCAGCACACTACTGCTATGATAAAAGCAGCAGAAGAGGAGGGAGACTTTCCATCTGCAAGTGTGGAGGATGTGTTCCCCCCACTAACAGCCCTGCCACCTTCTCCAGCCAAACAGCAAAAGCGCTTCCCAACCTCGACATTCCTTTCTATTGAAGGCTCCTTGGACCTGGCTGCTGTCAGTCTGTGGGATATTATTCTATGCTTGGGTGCACATAGTGGATAAGGTGGAAAGTCCACTGGTGAACAAGGAAGGATTTCTTCTGGGGTGCTGTAGGAGTTGTGATCCTCCATCGCTGCTTTGGCGGGGATGCCAGGGTGCTGCACTACTTCTCATGCAGGTGGGAGCAAGGCATCCTGCTGGAGAACCAGACCCACCACCTGTCCAGCTCCCCAGCCCCAGGCAAAGCTTTTGCACAGCTCTGGCTCCAAGCTTCACTTTTATCAACGCACTGCCATTTCTCTCCTTGTAGACGCCAGCTCCAGAGCAGAACAATAATCCAACCACGCAGAAAGCTCATGGGCCCAAGATGAAAGCTGCAAGTTCAGAGGTTACAAAGGGGTCACAGTCTGAGGCAGGAGCCGCTGCAGTTGTCTGGGGTCGGTTTCCAGCAGTAGGTATAATGCAGGCGTTCTGTATGTACATCGTGGCATTCAGGTGGGAACAGGGACACTTACATTGGTAGGAAAGGAGAAATTCTCACTCTGGGATATAGGATACCTGCCACACAATAATGTGGCTCCTTTCTGCCTTAGAAAGTACTGGCTTCACCTGGGTGGCATCTCCTGCATTCTCCTCTGTCTCATCATCTTCTCCATCCCCTGAAGACAGAAAGCAGAGTAAAAAAGGCTGGAAAGAAAATCCCAAGCTACACTGCCCTGAAATTGTTCAGAAGAGGTGAATATTTGTACTACAGTCTTCACAGTCTGACGACAGGCAGCAGGAGCCGAGACCTCCCTGCATGCCTGGAGAAATAACAGCATGGTGCTTTTCTGAACTAGGCTTCTGTGAATGGAACAAACTGTCTCCAGCTAAAGGGAAAACCATGTCCCATTTGGGGAAGCCAATGTTTACAACAGAGCGCCCCAGAACAGCACAGGTGACTCCAGTGGGACGGCAGTGTTTGCAGCCAATGGCACAGATGTTTTTATTTTTCCAAGGCCATTAATGCTAACTGCACAGCACTGTAGGCACAGGCAGGGGGAAGGTTTGGCAGCTTCGTGCTGTGGAAGGAAAATACTTGCTATCTGCCACCACAGCGGGAGGTAGGAGAAAAACAGCCTTGCTTTTCAGATTTCCCACAGCAGTGATCCCTCTCCTTCACAAATCGTACCCTTGCACCCCTTCCAATTCCACACCCCCCACTGCAGGCACTCACCGATCCGGAAATCAATGTACCCTTCTCCTCCACTCAGCACCAGGACATTCTTCAGCTTCTGCCCCTCAGTCTCTGTGGCTGCTGTGCTGGGGTTCTCCGAGGGGCTGTCCAACACGCTCCCATTCAAAGTTGCTAGGACGTTGCCTGGGACAGGACAGAGGTGCCATCAGTGCCACTGCTCAGCCCTCAGGCACTCTGAGAGACAAGCACGACTGAGCAGGCCAGTTCCTTCTGCTGGTGAAATCTCAAAGACACTGCAGTTTGAGCTACCAGTGTCTGAGTCACAGGATCTCCAAGTGCCAGAAACTGGCAGCCTTCTGCTGCAGGTCAGCCTAAGCTCCTGCCTCAGAATGGACAGTGCTAACAGACCCTCATAAGGAAGGGCTGTGCTCATCCTTACCAGGCACAGAGACAAAGAACTTGACAGCATCACGGTGACCATGGAAACAGAGCTGTGCCTGAGCCATGGAGCAGTAGGGAATAAAACTGCTGGCAGATTTGTCACTGTTGTCATCACCATACACGTGGATGACCCCGCCAGAGCGGCTGCCCTCTCCGGAGGTGGGTGAGGTCTTGTTGGCTATGGACAGGAGAAGGAACATTGTTAGTCACAGTTTTGGCCCCATTTACAGGAGGGGCACAATCAAAAAAAAAACTCTTGAGCCCTGAAGGAAAACCTTTATGGATTCAAATCTCTTAAAAGGTCTTATAGAATAAAATGGTTCAGCTGGGTGGATCTTCAAAGATCACCTACTCCAACTGCCCGCTTCGGGGCTAATCAATACTTAAAGCATTTCATTGAGGGCATCTCAATACACAGTCCAACATCTCATGAACAGACAGGCATGCGGCAGCACTTGTCTCTCTAGGAAGTTCCAGTGCTGCCCTACCCTCATGGTAAAGAGATTCTTCCTGATTCCCAGTCTGAGCTTCCCTGGCACAGCTCTGGGCTGCTCCCACACATGCTGTCCTTGGCTTCCAAGCACAGAGCACAGCACCTCCCTTGCTTCCCCTGCTCAGAGAGTGCAGAGCAGAGAGGTCACCCCCAACCTCCTGTTCTCCAGGTTGCCCTCAGCCTCTCCTCAAAGACATGGCTCCCAGTTCCATTACCAGCTTTGTTGCCCTCATCTGAATGCTTTCAAGCACCATCCTTTTTATATTGTGGAGCCCAGAACTACACCAAATATTCAAGGTGAGGCCACACCAATACTAAGCACAGCAGGAGAATCACCTCTTTTGACCTGCCAGCCATGCTGTGACCCAATAGACTCCAAAACGCAGTTTGCTCTCTTAGTGCCAAGGCACCCTGTTGGCTCCCACTGAGCCTGCTGTCACCACTTAGATCCCTTTTTGCTGAGCTGCTCTTCAGCTACTTATCTCCCATGCTCTGCTTGTGTCCAGCACTGCTCCATCCTGGGTGCAGAACACAGCATTTTCCTTTGCTGAACTTCATGCTGTTGCTCCTTGCCCAATGCTCTATCTATCTGGAGCCCTCTGCAAGGTTTCTCAACCCTCTGAGGAGTCAAAAGCACCTCCGAGCTGAGTGCCATCACGTGCTGAGGATGCACTTCAGTCCTATAACCAGACCACTGATAAAATATTGAATAGAACAGGCCCTAGAACTGAGCCCAGAATTATGTAAGGGTTATATTCATAGGATCCTTAGAGTTGAAAGGGAAATTTAAAAGGTCATCTCATCCAACTCCCCTGCAATGCACAAGGACAACACAGTTAGATCAGGCTGTCCAGGGCATGATCCAGCCTGGTCTTGCAAATCTCCAGAGATGGGGAATCCACCACATCTCTGGGCAATCCATTCAGTGCCTCACCACCATCACTGTAAAATACTTTTTCCTTTTACCCAACTTAAATCTACCCTCTTTGAGCTTGAAACCATCTCCCCTTGCTCTATCGCCACAGACCCTGCTAAAGAGTCTGTCCCCTTCCTTCCTGTAGCTCCCCTTCAGATACTCTCAGTAGTGAAGGCCACTCTCAGCTCACCTCACAGCCTTCTCTTGTCCATGCTGCACAGCCCCAGCTCTCAGCCTGTCTTTACAGGAGAGGTGTTCCATCTCTTGGATCATTTCTGATGTGCTCTAACAGGTCCATGTCTCTCTGTACTGAGGACTCCCAACGGGATGCAGAGCTCCATGAGTTCTCACAGTGCTCAGCTCCCTTGACTTGCTGGCCACACAGCTTTGGATGCAGCCCAGGATACGGTTGGCTTTCTGGACTGTGAGAGCCAACACGTCCTGCTGCCATCCACCAGTACCCCCAAGTCCTTTTCAGCACGGCTGTGCTCCATCCTTTCATCCCCCAGCTTGTATTGGTAGTGGATGTTGCCTGGACCCAGGTGCAGACCTTTTGCACTCAGACTTGTTGAACCTCATGAGGTTCTCCTGAGTGCACTGCTCAGCCTGTCTGGGTCCCCCTAGATGGCATCCCATCCCTGTAATGTAGGACTACAGCAAGTTATACGGTCCCTCTCTGTTAGGCTGATTAAATCCACTCACAGAAACAAACTACTTTTTTTTATTTGGCTGTTAATGACGCACACTTCCCTGGTGGTGGTGGACAAGAGTGACTCTAGGGGACACAAGACAAGGCCTCTGGGGCGCACCACTAAAGGTCTCTTCTCCAGGCACAATCCTGTCCAGCCTTCAGAAGTCATTTACTGTCCTAGTGATCAGCCTTTGGGACTTGGCAATGTAGGCAAATGTATCCACTATAACTGAGACACGATCAAGACTCTAGTCTCCCATACCAGACCTGGAGAACTACTGCTATTCTGGGAACTGAAGTTGCTTCCAAATCAAGTCCTTTGCTCATGCCAAGCTGCTTTCAGCAGCCTCTGTGTCTGGCAAAGTCTGTGTCTGTCAGCCCAGCAAGTGTCAGAGCAGTGGAGCCAGCGCCTTCCTTAGTCCTTGATTTAGAAGATCAGCTACTCAAACAGTGAACATAAAGAGATGTCCAACATCCACAGCACCCAAGGACCTCAAGGTGAGCTCAGAGGCATGCATCTTTCAGGCCTGTGCTTTCGAGGTGGGAAAGCTTCCATTCACCAGGGATGAAAGCAGTTCTCAGAGATGAGGACAGGAAATGCTTTTCTTCTGCATCAGTAAAACAAACCATACTAAAATCAGAAAGTATTCACTTCCTGTTTACTTACAGAGCAAAATGAACTGCTTACTTACTATCTGTAGCTCTGTATGTTGGCTTGGGCTGGTTTCCAGTTATTAAGAGGCTCAGGAACAAAGGAGGTTCTTACCTAGCAGATTTGCAATGGGATGCTGGGGTAAATACAAATATTTGGATGGAGGAATGAGAATCAATGTGTGCTGGGGGAAGATCCCTGAGATGAAAGCTTTGCTTTCTGCACCTCTGTGCTTTGGTTTACTGAGGGCAGACAGAACTGGCTGAGGCCCAGTAGACAAGGCTCTTCCAGCTCAGCATCTGGCTTCTCACAGTGACCACTACCAGAGGCTTTAAAAGGAAGAGAGATGCACCAGTAATGTTTCTGGACAGGAGCATCTTACAATGAGAAAAAGCACTTTCTGTCTCTAAAAAGGCTGAGGCAAGTATAAATCTGAACAGTGAGCTCAGACCTTGCTTTAAGTGACACAAACAAACAATTCTCAGTATTCATCCAAGTTCTTCTTTTAAGTGTTGGCTGACTTCCTGCAGCTGGCAGGTGTCACAGCCCTTCCTACCACTGGCCTGGAAACTAATTTGAGACACAGCCTTGGAAAACCAAGGATGACCAAGGATGACCTCAGAAGAACAGTGTGCTCCTGCTTCTGGAGCTGAATGAATAAATCCTCACAGTCTCCAACTCAGACCTGGCCTACCAGAAAGGCAGTACTGTATAGTACTATACAGTAAAGTACTTGACACAAAAAGCAGAGGGGTGGCTGATGAGATGGACGAAAATGTTTCAGACCGTAGGAAATGATCATTTTCAAATTATTGTCTCCAGACACTTTTCTCACTTGACTGACTTAAAATGAAAGAGATGAGGAAAAATGGATGGGGAGAGCTGAATGGCAGGATGGAAGGGTAGGAAAGTGACTGCAAAGGTGAGCAGCTGCAGAAGTGAAAGCTGAAGGAAGGAGGCAATGGACTTACCCCGGAGCCCAAGGAGTTGGCCTCGGTGGAGGACTACAGCTAGGTAGAGGCAAGGAGTGGGAACACAAAGCAGCACGGGAAGAGACAGGAAGGATGGGAGAGAAGAAAAAGGTGATTACTGGGAGAAAATTCAGGTAGCAACAGAAATGTATATATTTGGAGAAACCACATGAGCTATGGGCTCAATTCGTTTATACCAACACTGTTCTTGCTCATTTTACTATTATCCCACAAAGACAAACGAAGTATCTGAGACAGATGAAGGTGCTTGGTCACAAAGATCTATTGCTAAAGTTTCTAGTGAAGGTTTACAGCTTATCACATTTTTAAAGAAACACCAAAAGATAATGCAACTGGTTTATAGCAGGGAACAAGCTGAAACTGCAATTATGATAACAGCATCAGTCCCAAGGGGGGTTCAGCTCCAGTAGCCTTAGAGGAAACAACTTCAACTCCAACTTCCAGAAGGGCTGCAACAGGTTTGCCCCTTTTACCCAAGAGCCATTTGTTTCTCAGCTTTCCTGTCAGCACTGATGAGAACATGTACGTATCGCTGCTTTCCACTGAAAGGAGCTGCAGTCAGCCTCAAGTCCTACTCCTTGTTATATTTTGAAACAGACCTTCCACCACAAAAAATCTGATGATGACTGGCAGGTACAGAACAGGCTTACTGAGAGCTTCAATTAAATTTCCAGTGCTGGAGGTGTGCCTTTCAACAACTGCTGCTACTGGACTTGTCTTAGGATGCTGATTTCTACTTGACTAATAAAAACTGAACTCTAATTTGAGAAAATGAAGCTTTTCCTAAGGTCAATTTCTGCAAAATATTCTCATAGACATCTGAGCATCTCCACACCAGATAAAAATTTCCAGGGAGATCTTCCTGGTGACTTCTCATCCCACAGCCTCCTCCTTTTGGAGACTTGCTACAATTCCCAACTCTGTTTCTCCGGCTTCCCAGTAGGTACAGAATCAGTTCACATCAGTCTGCTCTGTCAAGGTCATCCCCAAAAGAGAAGGCTATATAGAGAGGAGAGATTACATTGGTGCCCAAGAGAAACATGCCTTCAACTGAACTGAAAATGAACAATAATAAATCTCTACTTGGCTTTAAACAGGTTAAATTCATTCAGCTGAACACTTAATTACATAACTAAGGAAGAGTTAAATCAAGGCCTGGGTCATTCACACTCAGCACTCTTCTCTCTGAACACTTTGTCAAGTTCAGAGTAAAAATGTCCAGAAAGTATTGGCCCACCAAAGCCATCTGCCAGAAATCACCAATTCACCAAAGCACTGCTCTTTTCAGGGGGGCACAGAAAAGTCTCTGATAAATGTCACTTACTCTCAGTCAGTGGAATGGAGATGACAACGCCGTTCCCTGTTCCTACCCAGAGACGATTGCCAGCAATGAGCAGGGCTGTAATCCGTACAAAGGAGAAGCCCAGTTTTCCAGTACCTGTAAGCACGCATGGGAATGGGAGCATCAGCAATCTGTATGACTTTTGGACAATGTCTGCTAACAATTTTTCATTTCTCACTGATCTCAGTAAGCAACAGACCATTGAGAGGCGATCCCTACTGCCTCACCTAGCATCTTGCTGACATAAGGCTCAATGTCAACGTCCTGCAGATGCTGATGGCTGTGGGCGTGGTAAAGCCTCAGGGTGGAATCCAGGCGGATGGAAACCCACACTCCATCTCCAATCCACGCCAGCTGTCGCACCTGGCTCTCACGCCGAGGGTGGGCATCAAAGGACTTCTGAATTGACACATAAGTAGAGCAATGCAAGTTCACAAAAGCTTTTCCAATTATCTATACATATGTTCCTATATCTATTCATATATTCTATATATTTTCCTTAACAGAGATTGCTTGTTTGGGTTTCAAAGGCCTCAGACAAAATGCCACATGACCTCAGAAGTTCAATATAGGATACAGATGATGCTCTATCAAACGAGTTTCGTAGTGCAGAGCTGTGGCTCCACAGAGAATATGAGTCTTTGCATGCCACTCTGGGAGCAAAATCATTTAGAAACCAGCAGCTCCAAGAGAAATCCTGAATATCCGCAAACTGCCTTCACTCACTGATGTGAACTTCAACACTTCTCTCTACAAGTAAATTATTGGGCACACTGTTAAGCACGGTTGCATGAACTCCACTGTACGAAACAAATCTTTCAACTAAAAGGGTCTGAGTATTTATTTTTTTTAATTAGGCAAGTGGAACCACTGGGGCTCGCTGACTTGTTCTTCCTTCATGCCACAATGCCTACAGATGGAGAAGTCTTAGACTGCAGCTGTAATGCACAGGCATGTTTGCACAGCATGTGAGCCCAGGGTCTCACTAACAAAGGCAAAGACAGTGCTCATTTCAGACTTTTTGCAAGACTTAATCTCTGCCAAAGGAGGAAGGAATAAACACCTCCCTGGCAGACTGGGTCTGAAGATAACCCCAACTGGCAGCCTGATAGTTTTCATTGCAGTCAATACCGACAAGAAAGTTCTGTGTTTCCACGCTCTGCAGCAGAAAACAGAAGAATAGATACAAGTATCTGTATGCATACGTGCACACATTTCCTCTCTTACCTCAATTTGCATTGTCTTAGGTTGAATAACATGGATTTTGTTCTTGTAGCCACACCAGACTCTGTCATACACAACAGCCATGCAGCGGATAGAATGGTGAGTGTGACCAAGGTCCATTAGGTGGTAATTACTGAGATCCCACTGACGATCTGGGGTGAAAAACAAGTGCAGAAAGATACATTGCTGTCATTCCATTTATATCTAGGTATACAAGGCCTACCTGATCCTTAAAAGCTGATCTTGCTTATGTCTGTGAACTCCCATCAGCACATGTTACTGCTTCAGACACAGCCTTACAGTTAGCAGGCACATGACAAAGCTTACTTTGATAGGCTAAAAGCTCTCCAGCTCAGGCTAATTTACAGATCCTTTTATGGTAATGAAATGAACAGTCTTCCTTAACAAGTACAACAAAATCAGAAGGGGAAGACAGACAAACTAACAAGACTCTGTGGAAACTTAAAGGAAATGGAGCACACAGTTCTTCATGGTGAGGCTGTCCCACTGCACACACAGACAACACGATTTCTGTGGAGTGGCAAATCCAGGATAAGGAATCAGATACCTGTTCTCTTGTTCTTACTTTCTAACTCATCAGGTAGGTTCTGTCTTTTGCCTCTAGGTGATGGAGCATTACCATATTTCTGATGGGAACATTCAGAGTGTGTCAATGGTCAGGCTCACATTCATGAAAAAGCCTGAATCGAAAATTACATTGCACAAAACCAGAATATCTGGTTGATAAACTGTTACCCAATGAACATCTGATAAATAAATTCTTTATAAGCAAATATTATTCACAATTTGCAAATTCCTCTGAGTTGTATGAGCACAGCTCAGGAACTGCTGAAGTTATAGGGAAACAAAATCTACAACAGCAAAGAGGACAAGAAACACAGAATTCAAAACAATATCTTGAAATGAGAGGATTAAGGCACAAACTGACGTGCCTTAGTATGCGCCCTAGTCCTCTCATTTCAAGATATTTTTACTCAGACATCTTTTCTTTATCACAAGAAGAACTGGCCAGGTGCAATGTGAAAGCTCTATCTATTTGGGACTTTCAGGCTTCCAGAAAATCCTAGCTCCGTCCTTCTGCATCCACAGAGACCAACTCCACTACCAACACAGACTCTAACTGCCCTGCACTGCACAGATGATCTGCTCAGGCACTGCCTCCCGGAGCTGTTGGGAGCTCCCTTCACACGAACTGTACAGCTGATTTGTGAATGCCCACTAATACTGGTTACGGCCCAAATGCATTAATCTCATCAAACATGCTTCAAGCAACTGCACAGTATATGTGCTCCTAGGCACGCTGCATTCCTTCCTCCTATACTACATAGCATTTTTACATTTTCTTTCTTCTTTTCAGAAAACCTCAGCAAACAATGTTGGAATATGCTCCAACTTACACGGAGATGTCTGGAGATGTTTCTGGATCAGGGGTGTATTAAAGGTATATAAAAGCTATACATTTTAACCAAGCGTTTGTACTCTGGCAATCTAGCACTTTCTCTTTCTTAACTTGGAATACTATTTAAATAACTGCCACAGTCTTGACCAGCTTGTTTTAATTTTATTACACTAATCCTTACCTTCTCCTCGGTGGAATATGGCCAGTGTTCCATCTGCCAGAGCAACAAGGACCCTTCCCTTCACATGCCTGAAATCACAGGACAATAAAAAAACTCTGTGGAAACAAAGGACTTAACAGATCCTTTCCAATATCCAGACAAACCATTCTTATGTTTTCCCTAGAATTTCCATTCAGTTTTAGACTTGCTGGCAAGGCCTATAAGGGCTCAGAGTCCAATCTCCTACCTTGTGTGTAGTCAAATCATCAAACAATTTCCTGCTGAGTTTAACTTCTCTTTCACACTATCAACTCCATCAATTTCAACAAATTCCACCCTATTTACTACCCTTCTCAAGTCTTCCTCTTCTCCTTCCCACTTGTTTCCACCTGATACTATAAATACATTGTACTACCTTCCTTATTCATTGTATTGGCTCACGTGTGCAGCTGCACAGGAAAGTGACTCAGCAGGAAGCTCAGGAAAACTTTCCTGATAAATCAATGCACTTAAGAGTAAGAAAAAAGATGACTGACAAAGAACTACCACCCCCATGGAAGACACTGCTTAGGCACTGAGCATCCTCCTTCAGTGTCCCTTGGTGTGTGTACTTACACTAGACTCAGCACCGAGTCCTTTAGCTTTATCGAGTGCAGACACTTCTTCCAGTTAGATACAGCAGAGTGCACGTAAAGCCTGGGATAAAGGACAAATCAGGGAGGGTTAGCAGCAAGGCCACTCATCTTCACACTAACCAGGCCTGAATTATTTCTTCTGGTAGGACAGGAGTGTGCACAGTTAGGTGAAGTTACAGCGCCCATTATGAGCTGAGGACTCAGAAACAGTAATGAATACCTACTTTAGAAACAAAAAGCAAACTAGATGCATAAGGACATGAAAAGTGGAGGCCAGAGGACAACCGAGGCAGAGAATCTGCCTAAGGGGAACCTACCAGCCATTCTGTGCTCCCAGCCACATGGTGGGTGCAGCACTGGTGCATGTCCCAGCAGCATCCCCATTCAGCTCCTGATCTGGCAGTGCTGTGCTTGACTCTGTTTTCAGCTGCCCATTCTCTCTTAAAGGGCAAAGGAAGGTGGTTAGAGGCCTTTAACTGTAATGCACAGAATGCTCACCTGCACTCACAGGCTGGCACTGCACAAGCAGATAAAGGCACTTGTACACACACAGCACATCCCTCCCCTCAGTGTTTTTCAGTTCCTTTACTCCCTAATATTCAAAATTTCCTTTCCCATCCCCTGCCAAAACAAACAGCCGTTACTTTATGGCCAAAAAAATTAACTTAGTGTTTGGAAGTAATTTTCTCCAACAATTTGTGTTCATTTCCAGCTCCAACAGAAACCACTCAGAACAACCCCTCAAACCATCATATTAGGCACATTAAGAATTCTGGGGCACTGATATGCTTTCTTCATTATCTTTACAGACATCCAGAGTTACTGCTGGAATAAACAAATGATCACACATGGATCAAAAGCCCCTTTGGTAAGAACATTAAGTGCCTGCGTATTTTGGAAGATCTGTCTAAATTATCATCAAGAGATCAAATAATTGCTATTCAACAGCTGATACAATCTGCTGCTGCCTGAACTGCATTTATTTTATTTCTTCCTCCCCTCATCATTCCATCTGAAATACTACCTGGACACAAAACTGAAAAAAGTTTGACACTTTATGAGAAGATCAGGCTTGTTCTCATAAGCAGCTTATGAGAACAGACCTGGTAGTCACTGAAGGGACACGTTGGCCCAGACAGCCTACCCGTTCTGACGAAGAGGAGCCTGTGCAGGGACGGGGTCCGTAAACACGTGCTCTGTGAGGGGTCCAGAACGGGCTTGAACGGGCTCTGTCTCACTTGTACCATTCTCTGGCACCTCTGTAGCTTCTGTTGCTTCCTCTGTAGACTGAGATTGGTTGATCTTCCCATTGCAGACAGCAGCCACTTCACCTAGGTGACAAAGAACAGTGTGAGGTGCACAAAGAGCAGGGGGACCAGGCTGAAAGCTAGCCAGAAAGAAATCCTGTTTTCATTTCTTTCACTTCATCCTTATTTGTAAATTATAATCAAACCCAAAGACTACATTGCAGACAGAAGCTCCTCCAGAGTGTCTGCTGCTCTGGGAGGAAAATAGAGGCAGTTTTCCAGCGAGGCACCACCCGAGTTTAATAGAATATCAAGAGTTCTCCAAGGCTACCCACAGTAGTGGGTAATCAGTAGTATGTAATCAGCAGTACATAATCAGCAAGAGCATTATTACACTATCATATAAGCTTACATGACTAGAAGACATGGTTGAGAGGAAAAAGCAATTAGAACAGGATTTAGGAGAGCTAACATCACCTGCTCAAAATATTCTGTTAACCTAACCCCACAACTAGGCTGTGGATCACTCAGAAAAGGATGGCTCTAAAGGAAAAAGTACCAAATGGCTTTGGATATCATGTACTGCATTAAGAAACGTCTTGAAATCTCTGGAATAGTTAAGCCAGGGGAGAAGGATGCAGCTGTAAGACCATAAGGTCACATGGAACTAGCTATTAAAGGCTGCCATTAGGCTTTATATCCAAAACTCACTCTGTCCTTTGTCCAGCACAGGTGTGTCACCACGCGAGGAACAGTTGCTTCGTGGCACATTGCAGCGAGTTGCACAGCCCACCAGAGTGATTCCTGCCAAGACACCATCTGTTCCAGACGACTCTTCAGGATTTACATCGCCCTCCAGGAAGATCTCTCCTGGAGGATAATCACTCTCACTGGCCGCTGAAGGGCAAAGAACAGATTCTCCCATAAATCTAGCAGTCACTGCCAACCTACGCATCCCAGTAGTCCTGAGGTCACCGTATGGTTGGATGCTGGTACTCAGGGTTCACAAGCCCCAGGGAGGGACCACAGCACCAGCCAACACTGTAGTGAATCCCCTCATTCCAGTGTCAACTATCACACCAGCTACAGAGCCCTCCAAACCTGAGCAAGGCTCACTCTTCTCCCCAAGAGTCATCCTTTGCATGCCAAAGGAATCACTTACTAAATGCTCAGAAGTGAAGAATCTCCACAAGATTCCACTTAGAAGAAGGCAAGCTCTGGAGTTATGCTTTTGAGGGACAATTACAGAATGCAGCAGCTTCCAAAGGCCAACTCTGAAGTGAGGATGCTACACTTGTCACTCCTTAGCTGAGCAAGTTGTGACCTTGTGCAGACCATAGCCAGTAGTGGAACATTACTTACCAGGGATGCTGGAGATGCAGAGCACATGAGCATTGCAGACAGTGAACTGGTCCACCACTGTGCCAGGCTGATTGGCATCAATGATTACAACTTTACTTGTTGACAAGGTACTGGTGAGGATCCAGACACGACTGGACGTGGCATCCATTTCATGGAACTCCTTTGCCTTCAGGAGAGCAAACACAGGCAGAATCAGTGCTCCCCTCAGATCAGACCGAGCATATTCCTGCTTGGCAGAGATCACAACACCAGTTCCAAAGATCCCACTCTCCTCCTAGCTGGTGCAACAGAAGCAATACAACTTTTCTTCACATTGCTGCACTTGTATCTGGAAGAGCAGCCAAAAGCCTGTATGGCTCCTAGGGCTAGAGGAACTCAACCATCAATTTCTGAGCTATCTGACTAATATCACTGAACATTCACTTAGACAGAATACCATGAAGCTGGGATGTGCTCAAGCTGTCAGCATAAGCAATCTGATCACAGACAGTGAGAGACAGCTGTGACAAAGTCCACAAACCAGGAAGGAGAAAATGTTGTATCTGTTGTATCTGTATAAATATCTGTACTCTGTAAGTGGGTCTTAAAAAACACTTAAGACAACATTTGAAAAAACAGAGCTGTAATAAAATCTCAAGAACTTCAATTTATGAACCAAATGAACTCACGAACTTTGCTATGTCTACGTTCTTCTTGAAGCATTCTTTGCTGTTTGGTTTTGCATGGTTTTCTTTTTTCATTTATAGAGATGAGGACTCTAAGTCTTCCTAGCAACTTCATCAGTCCTTATCTATCACTATTAGAATTTTTTTCAAAATTCCAAAAGTTCCAAAAACTGACAGTCAAAAATTCCACCCCAAATGATTTATGATTTTATTATTATTATTATATATAAATAAATTTCAAAAGAGTTTGTAAGAGAACCCCAAACTTCCCCAAATAGCCAATGCCTCTGAATGACTACAGCAGTAGCAACAGTACAAGACTTCACCCAGAGCATTACATAATGCAAAGACAGTCAGAGAGACAAGGAATGTAAGAGATGGAATGAGAAATAACACTGAAGAAAAAAAAAAAATCTGACCTTTTTCTTTTCAGGAGATGTATGGTTACTTTTGTTGTTCTCGCCCTCCACTTCCCGATCGCAGGTGAGAGGATCCCGTCCAGGATCCAATTTCTGCCCATTCCCAGCTTCCTGCTCCAATGGTCTCCATCCAGTGAGATTGACTCCAGCTGCACACCAGAGCTAAACAACAGAAATGGAATTGTAAGGCCATGCTGCTTAGCACACATACCCAACACCTGAAACACCGAGGTGGAAAAAACAACAGGTGATTGCTGATTTCTGCTAGGAGACCCAGTCAGACTAAATGGAGATAAGAAAAAGGATCTCTGCAACCTTGTGAAAACCATTATGATTTTTAACAGACATGACTAACGTTTTAAAGAAAATAAATATAAAAATCAGGCACATAACTGAAACAGGCTTCTGAAACATCCCCCGTCTGACTCTGGTGTTCCTAAGGTAGCGCAGCAAAGCAAGCAGGACATGGCAGCTGTTTCTAACTAGTTTGGGGTACAGTAAGAAGCACTGAACTCAACCAAAGCTTGATGTCTGAAAATCAGCTCAAAATCTCGGTGAATTTAATGACAGACTGCTTATTTGGAAACAACTAGTTACCGCAGACAGATGTGCTACATACAGAAAGAGGATCATTTATTCTTAATTGCAATTCTACTGAAAATGTTCCAGTATTGATAGATACAGCTTCCCAGAAGATTCCCTTAGCTAATTTTGGCCTGTAATCAGTGATTCCTGATCAATGATGGAACTCAAAGGAAGGGTGATGAAATGTGGTTTTGTTTTCACCTGCTCCTTTTCATGAATTTTTACATTGCTTTGTATTGTACCTGTATGAGACTTACCAAAAGCCTTATTCCTAAGTATTAAATTGTTGATATTATGGAAGAGATGCCTCAAAAAAAAAAACAACCAAAAAAGTAAGACAGATGTGGGACCTGGCACTGAGAATCAACTGATAATTATGTACAAGAGGTACTTTTCCCCACATATACTACAAACTACTATTTCCAAAAAAGAAGCAGAAGATAACATTCGAAATGAAAAAAATGCAGACTGTCATAAAAATTGCATAGTTTGCAAATAAATTCTGCTTATTCCATGCCCCTTTCTGTACTGAAATGTCATGCAACATACCTTCATGGTTGGGTCCTTCTCTACAAGTGGGCGACAATATACAGGCACAGGGACATTTTTCATGCGAGTATCTTCCTGACCACCATTGGGGCTCAGCTGTGGGAAAGAGAAAACAGAAAAGACAGTACCAGGGCATAAACACCAGGCCGTGGCACTGTCAGAGCTCTGACCAACAGGGCAGACCAAGCTTCTGCTTCAGAGGTGCTTGCCAATAGCAGCTGTTGCTTCATCTGACATCATGTATGAAAATGTCCCTCCCCACAGGGATGGGAACTTGAGAGACCATCTCTCTCCCCATGGTACGTCCAGCCAAGGCTGTACACTGCACTGCTGAAAGACAAAGGTTTTGTTGGAGTTCACTCCCTGTGCAGAGGCAGAACACTGGCATTCTTTTCCATCATAGCCTGAAATGCATTCAATTCCACCGCACTCTTTTCAGGTGATTTCTGACCAGAGTCATACGAGCCACAGGCCAACAAATGAGACTGATGACTGTTTTTTGTTTGTTTTACTAAAGAAGAGAATGGGGAACAAATTGTACTGCATTTGGCTTTTAAACTGAACAATCAGTAGAGTTCTCGTAAATAAAATAGCTGATGTTGAAACTCAATAACGAAGGAAACGAAAACAAGATGGACAAAGAGCAGCTGCTGTAGTTCTAGCCTAGGTTCTTTCAGTACCTTCAAAAAGAAAAATTATCTCCTGTTGACTTTGGTGGAGATACAGAAAAAAATTCATTTATTCTGTGCTTGCAATTATCACACAGAAAATTGCCACATACACAATACCTCAACTGGAATATTTAACAATTACGGCTAAGGTTACCAGAGGGAGAGCCAGGTCTTCAGAGTCTCACTACGAGGGATGAAGTCTGCACCCCTGTCTCTCTGGGCATGGTACCTACCTGCTTGTACTTGGCAGGGAGGCTCCAGCCGCAGGCCTGCAGCCGCCCATCATCGTTCCGCACGTGCTCCCGGACCTGGCGGTACTGCTCCCGCTTCTGCTCGCGGCGCGCCGAGGACGTGCAGTCACTGAGGACAGAAGCAACAGCGTTACTTCTCAGCCGAGGGTTAAAAACACGGGCAGCTGTCCCTTAACAGGGCAGTACAAATTCAGGTAAAAAGCCTAGGAGTGCAAAGCAGCTTCGGTCCGTCTTTGCACAGGGAGAAAAGGAGATGCAGGAAATGAGAGAAAAACAGTTTTGAAGCAGACAGCCCTCAGCAGCCCTAATCTCCAATGCCTTGTAACCTGAAAGATGCACCAGACCAAACTGTGATCATCTCCACTTCAATGTTCCATGAGCCCTTTGGACACAGCATCCACCTTCCATACGACTAGCTATGAGATTCTATCTATTTCTGCTTAGCTGTTACAGTTTCCTGACCTAATGTCTCCATGAGGAATGTGTTTTGATCTCTTCCCTCCTCCATTGTATTCAACTATTTATTTTTACGTCCATTTTAAACTTTGCTGACAGGGAAAATATGCACTAATTGCTTTTGAAACTGCTGGTTTCAACACAATGCTTTGCTTTGGCAAAGGTAAGACAAAACATCAGTCAGCTCTTAGGATGTGTTTTCATATAAACAAGATTTGTTTGAGTATCAGTTCCAGCTTTCAGTAGGTTTTTAAACAATCATTCCAAGGAATGAACAACAGCAGCAAAAAGATCCAGGCCAAACTCCACACACGGAATGACACACATTCTTCAAATAAATCCCATCAAACTTATTATACTTCAAAAATTATAGTTCAACTGTACTTCAATTATTATATTTAAAATGTAATTTCAAGCTTTAAAAATATACTTAAAACAAACTCCTAAGACAAAACATTTCCCAGCACATGCTTCTTCCCTTGGAGAGAGGAGGAGAAAACAGCTTCTAGCAGCTGTTAGCCACAGCACTTCATGTAGTATTAAAATGCCCTCAGAAACCACACAACGGCTGCAGTATGGTAGCCAGATAAGATGAACGGAGGAAAAGCAGTGGGCATTTATAAAATACAAATTCACCCTCCTAAAGATATTTTTTACCTACAGAAAATCTGTGTACAGCTGGTTTACTGGCTTTCCAGTCAAAACTTCATACTGCAGACACTACATGTTGTAGTTTATCATCACATTCTCCAAAGCCCTTCCACACAAACACAGCACATAGAAAACTGTACCACCCTGTAGTTGTAGAACATATCCATCCTGAAATTACGTACAGAAGTGAAGATTTTTTTCCCCTCATGTCAGAGAAATAAAGGACAGAGAGAAAGTGCTGCGGTAGCAGTATTTAGAGGCTCTTTTAAAGGAAAATGAAAACCAAATATTGAAAAAGAAATGTGCTGTTGAGAGAACTTGTCTTCACTTGACGTGTTGGCTGATGGGGTTGGGCAAGACTGTCCCCAGCCCATTGCCCAGTGCTGCCACACACTACCACAGAAGCCCTGCTTCATTTTCTCACATGATATGCAAACACCAGGGCACAACCAGGGCTGAGGCAAACCCTAAGGCCAAAAGTGGTCTCTGCTGATATGAACCATCACAGCAGTCGTACTTTCAGAGAACAAAACTGCCACTTTGCTGAGCCTATCCACGCAGTAATCAATGAGTTAACACCACACACAAATGTGCGTGGTTTTTCTTCCAGTGGAAAACAGCTTGTTTGAAGAAAAAGTTGGGGGACCTGGCTGGGGACACAGCACGTAACTCACTCCTCAGGGAAGAACTCCAGGGTGCGGCTGCCAGAGGAGATCTGGCACATGGTGTGGCTGCGTCGCTGGCTGAACCCTGCTGTGGTTGGAGACTTGTAGTGGATGTTCACAGATGGGTAGGTCCTCTTTGCTGGTGGGGGACTTGAGGAGGAACTGAACAGACGGCTGAAGCTAAGGACAGGAAAAGGCCAGTGTGAGAAAAGGAGCCCAGGGACACAACATACCACAGACACACAACAGAGGTGCCAACAGCTGCTTTAAGCTCTTCAAGAAAACTGCCCTACTTCTGTTTGATCGACGTAAGGTGTTTTTAGCTTTAAAAAACAGGTGCCTTCTGAAAAACCTCCTTTATTAAAAAAGATTCTGAGTGTATGTATGTTTCCATCCCAGGTCAAGCAGAACCCTTTTCAGCTTGTGAAGCAAAATTGAGAGGGATGTTCAGATCTGATCTTAATTTCGCTAAGGAGAAAGAAAGCCCTTGCAGGCAAAAGGGTTCAGCTAACAAGAGTTTCAACTGATTTCTCATTAATATGAGAGCAGGAGTCTACTAAGCTGCTGTAGAAGTAAAAATGGCAACCTTTCCCCTTTTCTTCATCTCACATAGATCACCAAAGAACTTACAACTGCCAAATGGTGGACTTCTTCTTCTCCTGGACGGATGGGTGCTCACGGGAAGCTCTAAGAACAAATACAAAAGAATCATTTGAATTTCAGAATCTTTTACCCAAATTTCTGCCAAACAACCTAAAATTCAACCAATCAGCAGGCAATTTGCACCAAGGAAGCCATGTCACAACTCAGAATTCATTTTAACACAGAGCAAGTGACACGCAGTCATTTTAATGAAGGGATATCCAATTGCTTTATATTTCAATGTTAACATGAAGTGCAAATAAATGTTCTCAGATCAGTGCTTTATCAACTCCCTTTCACAGTATCACTGCCATAGTATCAGTCTGGTAATGATAAACTCTAATCCTAACCCAAACCCCAGCATTACAGTCCTTGAAAGCCACCGCCAAAGGAACTAATTAGAAGCAAACCTTTTCCTGACAGCTTTTCTGAGCTTAAGTAGCACAAGAAACTATCAAGAGAAACAGCTGCCCAGTGTCTCCAAATAATAACGGTAACTCCTGATTTGCAGCCCAGGATCAGCAATAAGAGAGAAAATATTAGGTATGAGAAGAATCTAGTTTGGAAAACATTCAGCACATCTTCCGTATCTTATTAAGGGCATTAAGGCTAAAAGCAAAAGGTGCAGCGTGAGCAGGCTCTGTCCTGAAGGGATGTTACACCAACATCCATCCTCACCTGATCATTTCAGTCCACCTGACAGCCTCCTGGAGCTCCATCAACCTCTCTTTGTACTGATTGCGCTCCATCAGAACCCGGGCCATTTCTACACGGGTGAAGCGCCGGCGCTGAGCTATGGGAATGTTGTCCTGCAGAGGGGAGGAGCACTGCTTCAGCCAACAAAAGATGGAAGGGGATTGATGTTAGTACAGGGCAAGTCAGGAGACAGAAAGACATACCGGTTAGTGCTCTTCCTTTTCTGCTTGATTACACCCCTCCCCATCCCACACCTTTCCCGAATGAGGTACTAACTCCAGACAAATGATTTCCAAAGTAGGGCCCATGGACATCTGGGTTCTGAAAACTCAGGGAAACAGAACTAGAATCACCACCAAATTGAAGACCTTACCCAGGGAACATTGCCATGAAGGCGCTTTGGTAATCTGCAAGAGGTTTTGAGAACTGACAGCAGTCCATTGGCCCATAAAGTTTGGAAACCAAAGTTTTAGTGACATTCAGTAGCAAATTCAGCGACAAGCAGCAGAGAGCAGAAGATAATGTTATCTCTCCCCTCTAGAGGGCTAGGCAGAAGGCATTCTGTTAGCATGCACTGGTAAAGGCAGAGGGCACATGAAACTAAAGAACGACTTTCTCCTTCCTGGTGACAAAATTTGGCTTCCCAAAGAAAGCAAACATGGCTGCAGCACTTCACAAGCACAACCTGAAAATTTTCCTATCTACCTACATTCTAACCAGAGTAATTTTACCTCAGTTGAATCAGGAGAATTAGGCTAGAACTGAACTAAGTTCTATACTTTTTACAAAGGAAGAACAGAGTTATATTAAAAAGAAATGTATCCAATTTATCTTTAAGGTGAAGTTGCACAGGGCCCTGGGCAACCTGACCTACAGCCTGATTTAGTGGTTGGCAAGCACAGGGAGGTTGGAACTAGATGATCTTTAACATGCCTTCCAACCAAAGCCATTACACAGTTCCATGGTTCTGATCTCCTACCCTAGCAGAGGAGACATTTACAGAGGAAACTCTTTTACTCTCTGGTTTGCTTTATTTTTGACTACGGTGCACTCTGCTGCAAAGCCTCAAACTCAGCCAAAACAGGAAGAGAGCACCGAGCCTTCTCTGCCTGTACTCTGTAACAAGTACAGGCTTATGTAAAAGTAAACAGGACAAAAAATAACACTGCAAGATTGGAGCTTACAGAACTATGAAAAGAAGGTAATTTCTGCTGAAAAGCTGGCTGTAAAACCTGAGTTTCACTGCACAAAGTCCTCATGGTTTACAGCTTCACTGCCAACACGAGATTAACTCTTCTGGGGAAGCCTGACCATCACTAGATTCTGTGAGAAAGCTCACCACACACTATGCTGTCTGGCATTCAAAACTGAGGAAAACCAGGTAAAATGGAAAGGTGCTGAGTTGGGCACTGCTCTAACACCGGCGTTTTAAAACCACACTGTGCACTGCGTTGTCACTCTGTCAGCTGCTGCTCTTTGCCAAACTATAGTTTGCAAGTTATATGCAAAGGTAATTACATGACAACAACTTGCAATTCAGCAGATCTGCTCTCAAAACATTCTAGAAACATTTAGATATCGCAGTAAGGGACATGGTTTAGGGAGAAATATTAGTGGTAGGTGGGCAGTTGGACTGGATGATCTTGGAGGTCTTTTCCAACCTTGGTGACTCTACGAAAGACAGATCAGTGTGCATCTCAAGAACCTTACATCAATTATTACAGTATGAGCATATAAACCCCCTTTCCCCGCAGGCATTTTAGTAATGTAATATACCAATTCTGTACAGAGATAGCTGCTTACATCCTCCACCTCTTCTTTGGGCTCTCGTCGGGCAACAATCGCTTCAGATTTCACTCTAGGAAACAGGAAGAAATGCATCGAACCAGCAAGTGATACTGTGACTGCACCTGGTGGGTTGACTGCATCAGAAACAAACTGTTTTCCAACTGTGAGTAACACTAACAAATTACAAGGTGCTTCTGAGCTGTTCTTCCTCACTCTTGCAACACGTTTCTGAGAACAGCTTCACTGACATCATCCCCTCTCTTTGGAAAACGTGATTTAAGCACAGGGCTCCAAAATATGGACCACTGGGACAGACCTGTTTCAAAGATATATTTTATACTCAAATGTTTGTTGAGATCTTAACAACGCAAAAAGCGAGCTGTTACCAGCAATTAATGTTGGTTTAAGTTCTTCTGGGCTGCTTCTCTTTCCAGTGTAGTAAAAAAGCCTACAATATGAAGGGCAGTTTGCCATCACAGCAAAGAAATGAATCCCAAGTATAAATAAATACAAATTTAAAGTATTTATCTGAATACTTTTAATTTACTTAAGCCTCATAACTTCTATTAGCAAGGAAAAAAAAAAAGCCATCCTTATTTCCTAGTAAAGCACAGTGGACAGTTAAAAGTCCACATCCATGCTGCACAGCGTATTTTATGTATTACATAACACATCAGGAGACTCAAAAAGGCATTTTCAAAAAATCAGATCTATTTCCACTGCTGGTGAGATCACCTTCACTTCAGACATTCTGAACACTTAAGAAACCAGACTGTGCTGTTGTCACTCTGTGTTCAAGAATTTAAAAAGAACAGAGGCAACTTTCCAGATTCAAGATGCAAAATAAACACTGTCCTCTGAATCTGAGTGTCACAGTGCAGCTGGTACAGCTAGTTAAAATGCAGTTATGTAGCCTGGAGATCAATGGGGCATCTGTAGCTTTATGGAAGTGAAAACTTCCCAGGCTTTGTAGGCATTCAGGTTTAGGTTTCTCTAGTTTGAGTGGAAAAATAAGAAATGGAATCTGTCCAAACGCCACCTCTGTGCAGAGCTCTAGAATCTCCTCTCCCTCTTCTTATTCTTAATGTGAACAATGAGACAATTAACAATACTGACATTTAAACACTGTTTGTGAGAATCTGCACTCGTTCTTTCATTAAATGAATGGGCATTTCATGCCTCTCAGCATAATCTTGGCCACCAACAGGATCAAGTTCCTGACAGTTTTCTTCAAATCTACTGGTTCAGAAATTCCTTTGTTGTTTGTTTGTTTTAAATTGCAAACTGAAATGCTGACAACTTCACTCTGGGAAGCCTAGATTTGCAACCACTGTGATGGACCCCTAATATTGGAGGGGAAAATTCTGTAGATTTTCTAAGGTTCAAAAATTCATTTCAAACTAAGAAAAGCAATCTAAGAACACCAGGAATATCTCAGCCACATACTATCAGCCTTGAAATGCTCTGTAAGCTACCTCTGAATTCTAACACTAATGCCCATGAATGAAATGCAGAAAAGCTGACTGGCACAAGTTTCACTCTCAGGTCCTCTCACAGAGGCTGTGAGTTCATCACTCAGGTTCTCCCAGATCCCTGACACAGCATGGGAACCACTCACCTTTTCAGCTCTTCCTCCAGCTCCTTCACTCTGGTTTCCATTTTGGTTTTGGCTTGCTTTGTTGCCTCAAGCTCTCCCTTCAGTACTTCTTGTTCTCCAGACAATTGGTCCACCTTGGCAATCAAATCATTCTTCACAACGTTCAAAGCATTTCTTAAAGGTGCGAAAGGGACAATAAGCAAAAATGCCATAAGCTGTCCACAAGAGAAACCTGAAACTAAACTCACAGGTATCACAAGGAAACCTGAAATGAGCATACTGAAATAAGTTCAGACTGTAAGTCATGAAAAAGCACATCTTGCAGAAGAATGTAACTGGTCAGGATGAGGTCCGTCCAGTTCTGCTTTCTGACTGACAGAACAACCTCAGGTGCTTCATAAAAGATGCAGAAAGCACATACAGGGCAACTTAACAGCTGCACGAAATTGAAATCTATTTAAAGAGAATTAAGTGCTGAAACATACCTTTCAGAACCTACATTATTTGTAGTTGTTGATAGCTGGAGATGATGGTGACATACTTCAGCATTCCCAACCACTTCTGAAGTATCTTAAAACCTTTAAAATGAGCAGCTTCCCATCCTAACTTCTACAGTTACCACCCTTAGGATTACTTCTCCTTCCTCTTTATGGCTGCTTAGCCATTCCTTAGTATCTAGCTTGAAGTCTTTCCCAAAGGATAAGCAAATTACATTGCCTCGCTTTTCTTTATCAACTATTAAATCTTTGAAAATTCTTCTCAACAGTAATACAAGTTTATTTTCAATTAGTAAATCTTGCAAATAAAAACTTCAAAGTGACACAGACTCACCCAGACTCCTGCTGAAGTTAATGAAAGAAAAGCCTACCACTGATTTCAGGTGGGATCAGAGCCCATCAAGAAAACTGCTCAAGAGAGGAGTTTCTCTTCTACATTTCAAAGCATAACAAGTATTCAAGAGAGCCTGCCAGATACACCAATAAGCCACAGTGAGGCTGGAGTTCTAGCCACAACCTTATTTGTGATGGCATCTCAATGATATAACCAGGCAGGCGGTTCAGAGCACACAACAGTTTCTTACTTGGTCTCCAGTAGCTGTGAGTTCTCCAACAGCAGATTGCCCACTTCTTTGCCCATTCCTGAAAAAACAAAAAAAGTCAAGCAGTTTTCATCTGTTCTCCTCAGGGTATGGAGCTTGCGTGGCACTGACTGACTCATGCTTGAGGAAGAGAAATCATTTTGTTAGGCTTCCCTACAGCCAGATTCATCCACTTGAAAGGCTTCCTATTACCAACCTTCCACCGTGGCAGTATTAAAAGGACTTCAGATTGTCCAATGCTCTACTATTTACCTTGAACAATTTTCTTTCACAGGGGTTTACAGTTTGAAGTCTCAGGCCCATGACTTAAGGATCACTCCCAAAAAAGCACCTAGATCAGACATACTGCACTTTGGGTAAGAACACACGAGGGCTGCAGCACACAGGTCAGGTAGCTCCAAATCTTTCAGAGTGCATGCAAAGTGTAGAGATTGAATTTAGTAAAAATGAACTGAAAGGAATTTAGGGACCAAACGCACAGGAGAAGTGCTCCCTGCTGCCAGGAACTTGCTGGATCCCAGCATCTGCTTCTATTTTACAAATAGATACAGAGGGTACTGTTTTTTTAATGGACAGTGCTGAGTGTTGCAGCTAGTTTCTCAACACAGGCCCCAGGGAACAAAAAGGCATCACAACCATCAGTGTTTGTGCTGAAGTGCTCCTCGTCCTGCCCTCGAACTACCTATCCCTTTACAGCAAAGGCATCAACATTTTCCACAATTGTTACTTGCTGATTAATATTCACAATAAAATAAAAACAAAATAAACCTTAAGTTAATGGAAGTTAGAGAAACATGACGGCATACAAGAAGTGAGCACACACCACGACACTCCAACAAAATAAATCCTCTTCCCACAGTTAGATGGCATGAAGTTATGATGGCAAAAGCAGATTCCCAGCAGGAAGGAATAAGAAGCAGCATTTTCAAGTTTTTCTTTGTTTGTTTTTGTTTTTGTTTGTTTTTTTAAATCAGTAGAAAGATAATTAATCACTTTGATGTTTCAGGCAATGTATTCTTTGTGTGTCAAGGAATACTGCAAACAAAAATGTGAAAACTGAAGTGTACTTTTGGCTTGGTAAGATGGATCAGCTAATACCCTTTTCTTCCATGGCATATACATTGTTCCTAAAATCCAGAGGTCATACAATACAATACAGACATCAGTTTATTAAATACTTCTCTTGTTCCTTTTGAATGATTCTACAAAAGATCAAATACGTATTTAACTAGTAAGACATTAAAATGGCACAAGGATCCTGTGAGTGCTGAGGGACATCGTCATCCTCATGGCTTGGTTTTTCTGTTGTTGGTGGGATGGTCAATAATAGTTTGCCTTCTCATCTACAAGCAAGATAACACTCGTGAGTCTGCCTCTGGGAGAGAAAGGAACTGTGGTGCAGAGGGTCAGCTGTTACCCCAGAACTGCCTAATTAGTGTGTGGCCCAGTCCCAGCCCGATGCTTTAACCAGTGGGAGCTCTGAGGGACTGATCTTTCAATGAAGAAATGGATGAAGCCATCCTACAGCCATAGAGTGAGACACTATGAGATAATCTCATGCAAGCTGTAATGACAAAGCCCCACTCATGAGAAAGAAGAAAAGGCACTGTGGAGTGACTAAAAGGAGAATTCTTTACTCTTTGTGGTGTGGAACAAAGGAGGGAGCCATTCATCACTGTGCACCTCCTATAGCCAGGCAAATAGTGTGAAGCATCAAAGTGGATAATCAACTATATCAAGGGAAAGAAGAGAATTCCCAGATCACAACTATGGACCAGCTGCATCCTGCTTCTTGGAGAGGTGACCATCACACACAAAAAAAACAAACAACAAAAAAGAACCCCACAAACCAAGGTAATGCAAGACATATGGGGGAGATGTTGAGTGGATGAAAGAAATTTTAAAATAAAAAACGCATGGTTAAAAGAGGAAAAAAAAGAAAAAAAGAAAAAAAAGAAAAAAGGCCTTCGCCTTACCAAAGAAATCATCCCGTACTATGAGGACCATCCCATACGAGAAAGGGAACAGAAAGATAGGGGGGCAAAGGGGAAAAAAGGAAGAGAAAAAAGCAGCCATTAAGTACCAATCTGTAAATAACAAACAGAGCAGCTCATCAGCATGTGCAAACGTGTGTGGTGCCAGTACACGTGATGCTCAGCATAAACTAACATACATCTGGTTTAGCTGCAGCCTGGCCTGATGCAGATTTATGCCTGAAAGTTCAGGACAAGTTCAAGATGAATTCATTTTCTTCTTCCATCTTCATCATTTACCCTGGGACTGAGTATCTTTGTGCTTTCCAACCCCACCACAACGGCAATTCAACAGATGTAATGAATAGGGTGAAAAAAGGACAGGGGCAGGAGAAAAAACAAAAGGGGTGGGATATCAAAGCTGTTATCTGGCCTTTCTGCACAGACCCAAATCCACTTTACTACTGAGATAAATTCCAGTGCCGCTTCAGTGGGAGAGTTTCTGAGAAAAAAAAAAACATGAAAAAGTGGCTTACAGTAACAGTACAAACAATCTGAACTAAGAGAAAGGATGATGCCATTGCTCCTTTTGTAACCTTACAGACCCAACATCAGGAGGTCCTGTGTAGAGGAATGTGACAGAGCTCATCACTGCACAGTATTACGCTACAGATTTTGTACCGTATCAACCCAAGTCACCTACCCTTATTACAGGTTGAACTTCATTCAGTTTGCACTGAAATCAAGAGAGATTGCCTTGATCTCATCTGATTTTTTATCAGCACCCAAGTGCATTTAATAGAAAGGTGAAAATTCTGCAATTTAGGGCCTGCTGACCTTTGTATGGCATGAAAGGCAACAGAGGCAGCACTTCAAACTCCTATCAAAAAGACAAAACTTTTAAAAAGCCTGTGGCTCTGCCACTCTCTTCCCCACAAGAAAGTCTTTATTTCCACCGCAGCTGTGGCAGAAGAGGGTCTGTATGCATTAAGAAACTCATAGTGGGCACCATGTGAGCAGAGGGACTCCTCAAAGCCTTGTTCATTTGAAGAAAAGTGATAAACTAACTTAATTCTGTGCTCAGCTGAGCTCTGATCAGAGCACAGCACTTGCCCTAAAAAAAGGCACTTTGCACCCCAAAGCAAAGGAAAGGTGCAGTGTGGTTTTCTTGAGACCTTGAGAGACGGACCAGTGCAATATAAGGGAGCAAACCTGCAGAAAGCTACACAAAAAGTGGATCAAAAAGCAGCAGACATGTGAACACAAAGCAGGGATGTCCTACTGCCCAGGGACCCGCCAGTGCAAGGAACCAAGCAAGGCAAAGGTGGGAGAAAGTCAGCAAAGCCAACCGTGATTGGACAACAGCAGGGGAGTATCACACGTGTATACCATGTCATTCAGTCTCAACGAGGTAAAAACAAACAAGAAAGGAAACTGAGCAGAGGAGAGATACACACCTGAGAACTCCCCTATGGGCCATGTCCAGCGAAGCACAGAGAGACAAGGGAAAAAAGGAAGTGAAAAAAGGATCGATCAGTGACTGAAACCAACCAAATTAAAATTTTGTTTTAAAAAAAATAAATTAACAATGATTCAGCCATTTCAATGTCAAAAGGCATGAAATAGTAAGGACAGGAACTGCCATGACTGTAGGAGGCACGACTCCACATATAGGACAAAAGAAATCAAGGGGAGGTAACCCGTGTTATAACTGCAACCACATGCTTCAGCTACCCCCAGTATGCAAAAGACAGTTGCATTTTACAACATCTTTTTCCCTATAGCAGTGCCAGGACTCAGTTTGATAATTTCATTTCCACTTCTGTATAGAAAAACAGTATTTGTATGCATGAACTTACCACTAGTGTAAAACCTGCTGTCTGCACCATAAAACACCGGTTACATGAAGTGAGATTTTAACCTCCATAGCAAACACAGGTGGGCATCCTAACTCTAAAAGAAAGGACTTCCTAGTGCCCATAACCCAACTGTTAGTCCTCCCCCATGTCCGGAGTACTGGGATAATGAATATCGGGAAAGGGGATATGAGAAAAAGGGGGAACAACCCATGAGCAGCTGGTAAGAAATGCAATTAATAAGTAAACAGGCAGGAAAGCAGCCAACTAGATGGTGAGAATATTCCAAAGGCTATAGTGAGAAAGAAGGGAATTACAACTGTTACACTAGAAAATGTTCTCATTCCACATATTTCTCCAGAATCCTACACAAACTAATGTCATCTGCCTGGATCTGTGTAAGGATTTTTACATGGCCCCAATACACCGAATCGTATCTCCAACTTGGAGAGCTATGAATTTGAAAGCTGGACTATCCAGCGGATAAAGAATTGGTTGGATGGTCGCAGCCAGAGGGTTGCTGTCAACAGCTCTACGTCCAGGTGCAGACAGATGACAAATGGTGTCCCTCAGAGGCCTATTGTGGGTACTCTTTCACAGCATTATCAGTGACATAGATAATGGGAACAAGTGCATCCTCAGCAAGAAGAGCAGCACAGCTGACAGAACAGAAGGAAGGGACGTCATCCAGAGAAATCTGGACAGGCTTGAAAAGTGAGGCGATGAGAATCAAGGAGTGTTGCACTTGGGTTGGGGCAATTCCAGATAAGAGCAGAGAAAAGAACCCACGGAGAGCAGCCCTGCGCAGAGGGACGGGGGTTCTGGTGGACGAAGAGCTGGACGTGAGGCAGCAGCGTGCGCTCGCAGCCCCGAAGGCCGACTGCATCCTGGGCTGCAGCAGCAGAGGGGGGCGGCAGGCAGGGAGGGGATTGTCCCCCTCTGCTCTGCCCTCGGAGCCCCCAGCTGCAGTGCTGCGTCCAGGCCTGGGGCCCGGCACAGCAAGGGGGGAGCTGTTGCAGCGGGGCCAGGGCAGGCCAGAAAAAATGCTTGGAGATTGGAGAAGCTCTGCTGTGAAAAAAGACTGAGGGAGTTGGGCTTGTTTAGCTTGGAGAAGAGAAAGCTCTGAGGACACCTCATTGTAACCTCCCTGAATGTGAACGGAGCTTATAAACAGGAGGGGAATGGCTTTTTAAAAACTCTGATAGTGTCAAAACAGGGACGGGGAATAATTTTGAACCAAAAGAGGGGAGATTTTAGGTTAGATTTTAGGAAAAAATTATTTAGAGAGTGGTGAGGCACTGGCACAGCTGCCCAGAGAGGCTGTGGATGCCCCATCCCAAGGGGCATCAAGGCCAGGTTGGATGGGCCCTGGGCAGTCTGATCTCTTGGGTGGCAACCCTACCCATGGCATGGGGGTTGGAGCTTGATAATCTTTAAAGTCCCTTCTAACCCAAGCCATTCTATGATTCTATGATGATTTGTGTAGAGCAGTATTAGAACAAGGGGGAAAAGTAGATTTTATATTTCAAAACTGCAATGAAGAGTGCCAATTTTCTTGTGCCAATGTTGGCAGTACTATTCTTTAGATCTCTTCAGAGATCTATTCTTCAGACATTCTTAGTGCTTCCTATAGTTCAAAGCAAAGAAAAAGAAGTTTGAATCTCATTTCTCACTCTTTGCCTTCCTTCCTTTAAACAATCCTGGCAACACATGTTCACGTTAAAGAACACTTTCAAGAAGATAGAGCTGGCAGCCAGAGCTCAACAGAAGAATCAATTTGATTGACAATTCTGTCATGAAACTCACTGAGCTAGCCAATTTAATCACAATCCAGATCTCAAAAGGAACTGGAAGAAGCCTTCCTATTCTGCTAGCCCACCATGCCGTCATCTGCAAGTTTTTCTTGCTCTTCTCAAATCAGAAAATTATCCCAGAGTGCAGAAAAACTGGCAAATTACATGTCACAGCATCTCTGCTGAGAAGATGATAACCAAGGTTTAATGTATTTCTCTTCTGTAAGTGAGCTGGGAACACAAACTACACAGATAAATTCTTTCTGAAGAGTTTTAGAATTCTTCACCATTAGCAGATTCATCCTTCTACTTCATTCCTAAAGAACTGATAAAAAGAGGAGCCATTCAGGACTAAAAACATACAGACTGACATAACTTTAATACTACTCCCTTTGACACTGTAGAGGGTATTGTATACACATAGTACACTGTATACACATCTCTAGGATGGGGGAAGAAAATGTGCACAACTTTTCCAGTAAGCATTTAATTCATGCATGGATAATTAAGCTACTCAGACAAACCTCTCAAATGCTCTGATTAAAATATATTTTAGGTGTTTCACACTTTCATATTTTGTCCAGAATACTTCAAAAATGAAGAACAGAAAAAAGAATGTCAACTTCAGTAAGGCTTGAAATGTGTGCACCATTCAAAGGAAAACTGACAGATACAAAATACCAGAAACCTAACAACAGCAGTGTAAGCTGGAGATGTTTTTTGTGCTTAACAAAGAGGGGAGTAGAGATTTTTATTTCCTAAGCAAAAACAAATTGAAGGATTAAGCAATCTCCCCTTTTTCCCTGTGTATTTGGGCATCCCTGTGTATAAGGAGAAGCTATCTCTATGTATCATAGAATCATAGAATGGTTTGGGTTAGAAGGAATCTTGAAGACCATCTAGTTCCAACCTTCCTGCCACAGGCAGGGACACCTCCCACCAGACCAGGTCCTCACAGCCCCATGCAGGGCCATGGGCAGTGCCAGACCCTCACCACCCCTTGAGTAAAGAATTTCCTCCCAAGGAAATAACCTTATGCTTAAATTTAAAAACTTGATATATACATATTGACAGTTTTGGCTTTAGGTGGAAAGGAAATTGATCTTCACGAGCCGTACTTACGCTCAAAGTCTCTGTATAATTTTCTTAGAAGAGGTAACTGCCAAATAACAGATGACTCAAGATGTCTATAGATGTCTGGGCTGTGTGATTACTGGAAGAGGTGAACACCTTTGACTAACTGGAACTGTGGTGATGTAACTTGCAAGATCTAAACTGGGCAACTAAACACTTGTACACTTTGAAAACAAGTCTATATTTCTCACTGGTCACTGGGTGAGACTATTGGGTTCTGGGGAGTGGATTCAGAGAAGACAGGCTTCCAGAAGTGGGAAATGGGTCTTCCCAAGCAGTTCATACAGCAAGTCTTTCATTTCCTGAACGATTCTGATGCTCACACTTCCTGATGCCACAGCCATTTCAAGAGAGATAAAAAGCAACAAGTGGCACAGAAGATACATGTGATTTAGAGGAAGAAAGCCATGTATTACATCATATGCTCTTCTAGACAAGGAAGCACCTAAGGATCAAGATAAAACACATGCTAGATAGCAAGATTCTGATTGCTTTTAATTCTTTGAGCCTGTCACAAAGAGAGCTCCCAATAATGCATGGGGGCTGACTGAACAAAATTCATCCCACATCTTTAATAGCCACGTGTTGTTGCTCCTGCCAACTTCACTAGGAGCAGGAGATCAAGCCCTTTTGCAATGACTGCTAACATACAGGTCACTCTCAAACCTAGAATTCTTGCTTTTTCTTTTTAATTCTGATATTTTCAGTATCTGCCCATATTGGCTCCAATCACAGGCTGCAAAAGTTCATCTCTACTCTTCTGTAGACTTTTTCTTCCACCATGGTGGAAGAGGTGTCAAACAATAAATGTCTTAAAGCCTTCTGGCAATGGTCATCACTCCATGCACAAGAGTTACACTGCATGCTGCAGAGCTAGCATCATGTTCCTAAAAAAACATCTATACCAAACAGCTATTGCAAGTGTTGTGTTCACAGCCTAGATCTCTTTCACATTCCAGTCACACAGTTGCCCACAACAGTATCGATTTCAGAGATTATGTCTTAGATAGAGCAAGAAACTATGTACTGACCTACTCTACAGCCTTCAGTCCACTTCTTCATGGTTAAATCTTCAGGGAATAGGCTAAAATCTGTCCCCTCTGCAGAAACATACTCCTTCAGAGGTTCCTGATACCAGACTCATTCAAAGGTAATACAAGTATTCCCCTAATTTAATTCTCGTAAAGAGAAGCTGCTGCAATTCTGCGACATGACTCAGCTGATCACGTTCTAGATATATGAGGGCTGCTCCAAAAGTAATGTCTCCTATTTTATTACGTTGACCCATGATGTCAGAAGCGAATGTTGGTGGTAATGCATCAGAGGTTGAACCTTCCCACCTGTATTGCATTAAATTTTTTTGCTATGTGACAGATGGCAGCAGAGAGGCAGTCTGACAGAATGGTAACTGACATGAAAGTACAGACGAAGCAAAGGTGTCATTGAACTTCTCCATGCAAAAAAAAAAAAAAAAAAGGACCCAATGACATTCATCAACACTTGTGAATGTTGATGGAGACCAAACAGTGGGTGTTGGCACAGGGAGGAGTGGGTGGTGCATTTCAGCAGTGGTGACAGCAGGTACTTCCACTGGTGCAGATTTGTACAAGCACACCACGCAGCTCTTGTTCACTGCTGGTGAAAATGAATAACTAATGGTAGTGACTGAGTGGAAAAATAATGTTCTGTAGCTAAAAATTTGCCCTATCAAACAGTGCTATTGTGTTCTTTGTATCTGTTGTGGAAATAAATAGGAGACATCATTTCTGGAGCAACCTATGTATATCCAGAAGTTTTTTGGATATACAGTAAAAATTTTGTTTCCAGAACCAAACTTGTAAGATTATCCAAATGCAGCTCTTATGCCAGTAACCACCAGAAATGTTCACTTTCACATCAGATCTCTTGCTGCTCAATGTCTTAACAGGAATACTTGTAGGAGTCCTCGTATTTTCCACAGTTTTTAAATCAAGCAGTAAAACTGACAGTGAGCTACACAGTTATAAACTTTGTCAGTAGCTTGTGTTATCAGGATATTCAAATACCATTCATATTTCCCTGAAAATATTAAGCAGGCCTTCAGAACAAGCTTAAATTCTGCCATGAATTAAGGTTTGCATGCTCAGAGTCCAACACCAGAAAGCATGGCAAGGGCTCAGACTGCTACCTGACACAAAGCCGCTTCTCTGACTGCTTCTAAGTCATCAGGAACACAGAATATAATCAGACTTCAGATACAAAAAGCTCCTTCAAAATCAGCCTAAAAGGAAAATGCAAATCTCTCTTGGATCAACTATAAAAAGGTAAGAACTGCAGTGAAGACTATGATGTTTCCATATGAGAACAAAGAAAAATTGTTCCTTTAAAATACTTAACAAAAGGAGCTGTTTTCTTGCAAACTTCCAATAAAACCTTTATTCCAAGTGAAGCTGCTAGAGTGCAGAATTACTGGAGTGAAAATTTGTGGAAGGAGTGGAAGAAGCAATCTTCAAACTGCTCGTGCAGGAGAATTCTATAGGAAAATAACTTAAAGACACATAAAGACAGCCCAAATACATAGCCATAAACTTAAATTGTTGGGTAAGAATTACTGTGCCGTAGGTATATATTTCAGTCACAGTGCATCCCAAATTCCATGCCATTTTTTAAAGGCCAAACAACCAAATTCTGAAAAAAGAGCAAATTTAAATGCTTCTAGAAGCTTAACAGAGTTGTCATTGCATCAGAGAAAACAGAACAGTTCCAACAAGTTTTTACCTAGCAGATCTGCTCCTTCATCAACATCCCCGATCACCTCAGATCCTGCTGTGGAAAGTTCATGATAGAGAGAGTCTGTGTTGATGCCAAACGCTTTGTTCACAATCCCCTGGGTTGGGCTGTGGTTGGAAGAAGGAAAGGCAAGGATTCTTGTTATTTGGCAATATTTAAGCTAGAACATCATTTCTCTGAAATACTGAGCATCACAGACCATTACAATCAAAACAGGTGGAGTGGATTCCACCCTCTTGCCATGGACTGACTGAGGGAATTTAGTAAGTAAAGCATGTTTTAATCCCCACACCAAGTACCAGTACCTACCACGTATAACCTCAAAGCTCACCTAGCTGACTCCTTTTCAAACAGCTCATGACTTCTCAGTATTTCATAGAAACTTTCAACTCACAGACCTAAGACTGTGCAATGATGCCTACACTCCCACCAACTTAAACAGCAATCCTCATAGCAGTAAGATCAGATAAGGACTCAAATGCTGCAAACAGCAGTGGTTTTCCTTTTTCTTTGCCAGCTAGTAAGTCAGCCTGAAGATTTAGTTTCTTCTTTGAGTGAATCTGTGCACACAGATGCTTTTCCATACCTCAGCAAACTGTACTTCATTAAAGGTAAATCAAAGTTAATGTTATCTAATTACATCATGTGGAAGCACATTTCCACATCTCTATGGAGAATCACCTTGCATGCCTTGACAGACTCGTGGCTCAAAGAGAAGACAGCCACTGCAGGAAGGCATAGCATGAGAGAGTGCGGTGTCCTGTGGGACTGCCAGTGCCTACTCCAACAATCAGCACTGAAGCAGGTACAAAAACACTTCTGTGTGCCATGCCTTGTACAAGAGGAACCAGCTTGTGCAACCTTTCCAGCAGCCTAGCAGAAAGGCCAGCACCACTGGATAACATCCCAAGCTCTGTGGCTTTGTCCTTAGGTAAATCAAGTCTCTGCGACCAAGCCTGGAGATTACAGATGTCACTGATACATGAGTAATACAGCACATTGCAGAGAAAAGAAACAGCTTTCTTAACTACAAAGCTACCCAGGTATCTAAGAACACTAAGGAATACAGCTGGGTGCCACAACTGCATCAGAATTAATCAGCTGATGCAGGCTAACAGGCAGCACAACTGACGACAAGCAACCAGCATTCAAGGTCTGACTTGAAGGCATCACTCAGCCTCAGCACTCCACTTTCTGAAGCACTGCATTTTCCCAAAAGCATTCTGCTATTAAAGATGCAGCTCCAGAGTTATCTCATGTCATCTGTACCTTCAGTATCTCCAGCTGGATCAGAGATCACTGCCTGAAGAGCTCCCCATGCAGCAATACTCTCCACTCCTATATTTTCTTCAGTTTGAAACCAATTATTGGTCTAACCATAGCAGTCACTTTTGCCTTCCTCACACAGCACTGTTCAGTGTACCTGGATTCGTCGTACTGCTAACAATTGCCCACGCATCCTACATACTCTGAAGGAAGTTTAACTGAGAAAGGCATCTGTTACTGCTGCTCACATACGCTCTTAGAGACTAGAGGAGAGTGCCCAATAAATGAAATCCAGTTCACATTTGGTCTGTGAGGAAATCTTGCTGTAGCTTTGTCAGAGCATTATTTTCTGCATACCTTTTTGCTGACATATTGTCAAGTTACCCACCAGACAGTAAAAAAAGAGTAAAAAAAAACCTACAACATTGCTAGACCTTGGTAAAAATCGATCAAGGAATCTAGACTAACAATTCTAGCCTAATATACGTTTCACAGATACACATGGAGCCAAAATTAATAGCCTTTAGGGAGCTGAGTGCCAGGTGCTAGGCAGGAACCACATCAACATATTGGTTCACTAACTCAGAGATCTTGACTGTCTTGACTGACCACTTCACAACTGAACACTCTCATCCTGCTGGTCCAAGGCGTCCCTTAAACCTCAGGCCTGTGTCTTCAGTCCTTATCTGAGCTACGCTATAGAGTACTTGTCCTCAGCTCTGTCTGCTGCTTCTGAGTATTCTCTGCACCTAATGCATCCTCTTCTTATCTGGGAGTGCTGATGGAGCCTCTTACCAGTACCCTACTACACTCCTGCACCCTGCTTACGATGAGCACTGCCCACTGGGGTTGTTTTTGTTTGTCCTCCCAAGCATAGCAGCTCTGCTTCTGCTCTTCCAACACTTAAAGAATACCACACAAAACTAGAAGTCTTGAGGCTTTAAACTGCATTCAGAACTGATCTCATTAGACAAACACATCTTTTTCCTCTCCTTGAAAACTTAAGCCCATATTCCCTATGCTTAACTTAAACCTTTTGTTTAGAAACGCTACGTTTCTTTGCACTCCCTGATCCAATAAGACAACCTGTCTCAAAGCAGCCTGGACCTGGGCCAGCTGCACAGATCCTTCCAGATTACCAGCTGATACGTGCCTTCCCTGGAGAACTCAAAGAAGGCCAACATGCCCTCATTTTTGCATTAGCCAGGATACATGCATTTTTTGAAACAGCTGCATCTTGAACTCTGAACCACAGTATCCATTCCACTCCTCACAGAAACAAGACAGAGGGCCAAGAGCAGAAAGTCACAACAATACCTGTTCCCAGGGCGTTCCAGGCGGGGATCTTGACACATATCCAGCTCAGGAGTGGAGTCTATGATGTCCTGAACATCGGACCACTCATCACTGCTTCCCATACCTAGGTGAGACAACACATGATCTATGGTAACACTGCTCCTTAAAGCCACTTCTGCAGCTTCAAATACCATGGCTTGAGAACGTCATGGTGCTGTGTACAGCTGTTAAAATAGAAACAGCAGCAGATCACCTAGAGTCACAAATGCACCTGTGCTGGAAAGATACCTTCATATGTTTAGGGCAGACAGACCATAAGCATGCTCCCTGCAATACCACAGTGCCACCAACATAGCTGACCTAGATCTTCATTAGAACATAACAACCAGAAATACTTCATCCATTAGAATAACTTCTATATAATCTTTTAACTTGTCAGTAAAAATTCTTCAGTCACAGTGCATATTTAGCCAAAATCACATCACTTCACAGAGATTACTCTAGCTATGAACCGGCACTGGCTCATTTAAATACAAGCAATTAGTCAACACAATTTCTCAAATCTACAAGGAGCTTACATATCCACTATGGTGAAATTTCACTTAGAAACTGCATTGTACAATGCATTAAATCCAGTCTGGTTTCTGTATAATTTATAGCCTGAGAGCAATATTTGAGGAAGAAAACAAGGGACTTCCCCCTCATGTCAATTTATGTGTATTAGAAACCAAAATGCTCAAAAGCTGAGGCAAGCAACAAAAATACACTGTGTGTTCACATACAAAATGCTTGAAGGATTAAGGACGTCATCTGTATATTATGTTAGTCTGCTGAATGTGTTAGAGGTGGCATTTTTGTCCTTTCCAAACTGCCTTGGAACCCAAATATACAAAGCTCACAACAACAAGAGTGTTCATTCCCCCATTTAGGCTGGCACTGCGGGCTAGCTGGCAAGCAATACCATGCTGAAGACAAAGCCTGATGTGTATCTGTTGCCAAAGGAGGCATCCATACACAGCAGTTCTCTAGCTCATACAAACTTCTCTTTTCAACCTGAAAAACTTTGCAGCAAATACCTTGGAATATAATTTCTGTAGGCTCCTCTTTAAGACATTTGTATCAGTAACAGACATTTTAATAACAGATGCAAAGAATTATGCAATTACAATTCAAGTACCTGAGTTTCTCCACAGCAGAGATGTGTTCTGCATTGCACAAGAGACAGCTGAACAGCAGAGCACATAAAGACACAACTATCTGCCAGGAGCAGATTGCACACTATGATCATTTCACCAGGAAAACTTAAATTTTCACATGGGCATTTCCTTCAGAATTGAAAGAGAGCTACTGACAGTAAACAGTCTCCTCAGAAGCAAATGTAAAATGAGGATACTTATTTATAGTACATTTGAATTACTGAACTCTGAGAAATACTGTAGGACAAACTTACGACTGAAGCAAATCCAGAATCATCACTGGACCTACTAAAGCAATTCCCCTTTTCTTGCATGCACAGTATAGCTTATTCTTGTCAGCTCTAACTTCTGGTCTCAGCCACCACAGACATCCACGTTCAATTTCTCTCACTAATGCCCTCTGATTTGCCTTGGCCAGGATACACACGAAATAACAATTTCAGTGGTCTATGCAGAAGCCACATGCCCTTACAGAGAGCTGTGCTGGTTTCTGGCAGACTAAAATCCATGAAGTTGGGAGCCCCCAGCTGCTAATAAAAATACAGAATGGGACTCAGTTGTGACTCTTTTTATTCAAATGCTACAACAGAAGATGTTACATCTTGTTTTATAGCCTGAATTTGTTAGGAATCAGCTGCTGAATGTTAGCACAGGCATTTCTTCTGTATTACAGAGGAAAAGGTTCTGGTTCTGATGGTCCTTGGAAACCTGTGCTCATTCACATGCTCCTAAACAGACTTTTTTCCTTATGGTCTTCGTTGAGTTTTACAGTCCTTTTTGAATTTAAGTTAATGACATGTAACAAACACACCACTTCTCATTTCTGAAGGCTGCCACAAGTCTAAACACAATACAGCCTGAGAGCAGCTGACACTACACTGGTACTGCTATAATAAACTTCACTGAAAGTGGCTTTTCTCGTGTTCTTGCATTCTTTTCTTTCTTTCAGCAAACTAAAGCCTTGGGTGATGGCTTTCCTCACCAGACATCATTAATTCAATCTGCTACAAGACTCTGGGGAGTGAAAAAAAAACAACTGTAACTTTCCAAAGATTTCTCAAATGAGAAACAGACTAAAGAGAAAACAGCTTATTTAGCTTAGAAAAACAGCTGGATGAGGATATAACTATTCTTTTAAAATACATCTGGGTGTGGAGTAAACACACGGGAGGGAAAATAATTATTTAACCGAACTGACAATTATGATATATGAACAGCTGGGTATAAAATACTTCAGAATAAATCCAGAGAAAAAAAGTTAACAAAGTTTTTAACTAGCAGATTAATGAGGCCCAGAAACTGCTTCCCAAAAGCTCCAATATGGGGCTTTCTCGTTCATGACAGGGGTTCTATGACATGGATGAACACACCTGCAGGGAAATGGACTCAATATCTACTGCCATCCTGCATACCTGGGAAACCATTCACATTACTGACTTTTTAACAAAGTTTGCTACTCAGAAAAAAGCTCACACTTTATTCTATTTGGGATAGAAGCTGATTACGTATCAGTCTCCCAGCCCTCTCCTGTTACAGAAGGACACAAGCACTGCGAAGGAAATTAATTTCCTGATCAAGAACACATGCTCCAGCTCCCATACCTATGCTGACGTTCCTCATCTCCTGTGTGACCTGCACTTCCATGTTCCGGCTGTTCCGCTTTTCTCGTGTCCTCTTGTTGCCCTTGGTTGTGCCGTTGTATTCACTGATGGGTTGGATGCTCTCGTTCAGGGGCGTGACAGCAGCAGAGGGCACAGATGATGTGGGAGTGTTGGACTTGGTTCCGGTGGTGCTCGGCGTGGCAGCTGCTGAGGACTGCCCAGATTCAGACATTTCATCCTGGGGACACTACGGCGATTCCAGGGTAGGAAAAGAACAAAAAGGCAAAAGCAGAGCTATTTATTTCAGTTAATCTCCGATTTGTTGGTATATGGCTGCCTTAAAGCATTAAGCAAAATGTGCCTTGCTCACTGTACCGACTAAATGCCCAGCATTCACTGGTGACACATGGCACTGCAACCAGAACGTAGCAGTGAGTTCTCATGCTGAACTCAGCAAGCAAATCCTACCTGTGAAAGGATCGACATCCTTCTTCTCGTACTATGAAGACTTATCTTCATAAGTCACATCACTATGTGACCTCTTCATCATGCACCTCAAGGAAGAAGGCCTTTTCATAAGTGAAAAGCACCTCCAATTGCCACTGACTACAGCAGAAGCTGAAAGGCTTTGGCACTTGCAGTAAGCCAGGACAGCACTTCCCAAGACTGGAAGGTAAGACGGGCATTGCTTGGGAAAGACGTGAGCTCTTAGAGGATCCAGAAGCTGTCATTACAGTAAGCCACTGACATAACCAGGATGAGAATCCCTTGTGGTGAGAGAACAGCAGCGTATTTTTGACACCAAACTGCAGAAGCAAAGTGGCTAGCAAACGAATGGTCTGATTTTGCTAGTGGGGGAAGACCTATGTCCCCACATGATGTTATGCAGAAGCTAGCCAGGCATGGATCTGGCTTGACAACACAGCAGAAAGAGGCATGGTCTACCCAGATTGATTAGGCAAGACCCAGAAACTCAAAAATAAGAAGCTGACAAATTAACATAGGCGACAGACTTCCATTGTGAAATGTGCACAAATGAGGTCCAGCTTTACAGACATTACAGCCCCATTTCTTGTCATAACACCTCTTGAAAAGCATAGGAGGCTTGTAAGGCTCTGTGAGGATTTTATACTGCAGCCCTTCTTTGTCCATTAAAGTGGCACCGCTTCAAAGTCAGCCAATTAACGCCTTGACCGATGCAGTAATCATTCCCAGGAGCAAATGAGATCTCTCCTTTCTTCATGGCAGCCCACACTAATTGCTGCCGGCAGGGAGATGGCAAAATGAATTTGGAGAGTTATACGTGCTAATGAGTTGCAATTGGGTGCAGTGACATTCAGCAGCTGCACACCCAGACTCAGCTATAACTGTTATTGCTTGCCTCTCCCCTCCTGTGCAACTGCTGCAAAGACTCAGACTGCTCAGCAGCTGCTTCAGGGCCTCCCATCCTCGGAGCTGTGATGCTGGTTCACTTCACCGATTTCTAAGGCTTGCTCTACTGTTGTAATATTAACTGCACAACATAACAAAGCAATTCAAAATGGGATGATAGAAAAGACTGAAATATATTAACCCTTTGCAGCCTTTTTTTTTTTTTAATCTGGAATCTTATTAACACATTCCTTTAATTAGACTGGCCTCTATGCCTATCTTAAAATACCCTGCAGTACATTGTACTGCAGAAGTCAAAGGCTTTATATTGCATCTGTGCATTTACATAAAAAGTTAAGATTTATTTTTAATATTTGACCATTCAAAAAAATCAATGACTTGTTTGGTTTCTGCACTGCCAGTCCAAATAGCCCCCATATTCCTACTTGGAAGTTCCAATTGCTTCCCTGCACGTTTGCTGATTTTACAAGCAAAACTAGGATAGAAACACTTTACTGTGAATACATGTGGAAACCACACTTCTCACCTCCACTTCAGATTGTTTCATGAGTTACTTTTTTAATGGTTTTATTCAGTTTTTGTGAATGTGATCCAGTAAACCTTCTAACACTTCAGCTGCATTTTATCTGCTGTGCTTTCTATCATACAAAGGGACAAAGAACACCAAGTGTAAAGTGCAATCACAAAACCTCTTCCCCCAACCAAAAGGAACTTCTGTTGGATGAACAGATTCAAAGCTTCTTCTGGTACCCACAACATGTAAGCATAACAAGTCCATGAGGATTTTAGCACTGCAGAAGAGACATGCAGATGGGTACACTACATGTGTACACACGAAGTTTCTTGCACTTGGGATCTAGATGTCATTTACAAGTTCTACATTGTCAGTGTCTACAGAGTGATACATACCTGTATTGAGAAGACATCCCATAGCTTCTTGTTAATTGACATTATCTTTCTTTCACCCAGAGCACATCAGGGAGTAATTACACATGTAATTACACTCACTATATATATCTGTAGTTTACAGTCATCTAGAAAGCATCCTTTATTAAGTCTACCAGCCTGCCCTGGAGAAATTCCTCTCAAATGTAAACACTACCAAAGCACTCTTCTTCACAGTCCAGAATCTCTATTAAACTTCCTTCTACTGTCCTTTTGTACAGCTTTCCTCTGCAGTCTGGGAGGCACACTGCATAGCCCACAGCTCACCCAAAGAATACTCTCCACAACCACCACTTACCTACAGCCATACCTGTCAACCTCCTAAACATCAAATGTGTAGCAGTGACCTCCAAAATGCATTGCAAAGGCTCAACATTCATAGCAGTCATATGTCACCATGAGTAGTCACAATTGTATGGTTATAACACTGAAAGCATAGTACATAAAAACAAAAACGTTAAGGACTTTCATCTCCAAATTATTATGTAAAATAAATGTGCAAATGAATGTAAAAATAAAATAACAAAGACAGCAACTTAAATAGAAAATAGTCATAATAAGTATACAAGGACAATTAAAACATAACTAACATATGGCCCCACGAAGGAGGAAAACTAGAGAGAAAGGTCAAGATAAAAATATTGAGAAAGTAAGTTATGTGTTTGCAGTCATTGTCAATGAAACATCAGAGCAGATAAAGAAAAAGCAAGGAGTGCACGAGCACCACCACTGCTGAGATTTCAGTCATGCATAAGAGCTGAGAAATGCTATTTAGTCAGAGAGAGTACACAAGTAGCTTGCAAGAGGAAAATTTTCCATTCCAAATTGCAAATCCAGCAAGTCAGCTAATCAGTCCTTTTAATTATTCATAGGTTTGTTCCATACTCTTAGGAAATCCACCATAACACACTAGCTATCCAAATCTTCCAGAGCCCAAGCTCTATCTGCACACTATCAGCTGACCTTCGCAGTGTGTTTCCCCCTTCTGCATTTTCCTAACAAGCATCAACACCAACCCCAGAACTACCCATCAAATACATGTAGAGGAGCACAGAACTACCTCTGCACAATGTTCTCTTTTTACAGGAAATGGTCTTTTTGCCTGACACCACCAATAATAAATTACAAAGTTATCAAGTCAGTAACTCTCCATTATCCCAGCTTGGAAACCAAAGCTTAGAATTTATCTGGATTCCTGTTGTATTCTCCTGTAATGCAGATCCTGAGTTACTGATGAGCTCCACTCAGCTCTCACAGAAAACCTTCCAGAAGCTCTGCAGTGATACATCTGAAAGAATTACACCTTCAGAAGTCTGGAAGGTGGATTTGACCTCAACTTCCTTACAGCTCCCCTGAGGCTTACACCTGCCACATGTGCCTGACCAGTAGAGAGCTTGAGAGTACATCCATACAGTAGTGTACAGCTCAGTTGGGAGATCCAGAGCAATAAGTTATTTGCAGAAGTAAGTCTCTGTACATCTTGGTTGCTGTGTGCACACCTACAGCAATGTGCTGGCACACCCTAGTCTACCTGAAGCCACACCTTCACATCCTCATCCTACTGTCTGTGGCTTTGCTCTTCCCTAATTGCAGTAAAGCTTTCCAGAAATTGGTGTAGGATATGACTAGCCCTTTATAAGGTATTTTTAAAGCAGACCAGAAGCTTTGCAGGGAGGACATACTGCAAGCCATGCTGGCTGTCAGGCCTGCCACCAGGCACCTGGGAAACACTGCTTGAAGAGGAATTCGGTAGGATTCTGAGCAAAGACTTTGAGAAGTCTACAGGTACAGCATGTGGGAAATATGGCTCATCATGTATGGCATAAACTGTTAATAAATGCACAAATCTGTCAACTAAGAGCACAACCTCTGGGTCTTCGGGCTCAAAGCAGGCTCCAAATGGCAGAGCAGAGCACCTGAAGCAAGAGGCACAACTATCCAGCTGCTTTGGTGTGGCTACCATGACCACACCAAATTCTAGCAAGCCCCAGTGCAGAAGGCAGTGCACTGAATTGGATGTAGACAATGCAAGAATAGAGCTGCAGACCAGACGTGTGAGGAAGTGAAGAGCTTTAAGCACAGTGCAGGACTTGGGCAGTCAGAGAGGTTTAGTACTCCTTATAACTGAAAATAGGAAGGCCAGAAGAGTGGTAAGACAAAAAGTACAACTGCTGAAGAGCAAGTATAACCCTATGCCTGGCCCCAGGTGAGGAGCAAAAGCCTTGTTATTACTGAGGGGAAGAGAGGAGGCAGGCTCCATCATTTCCTCTCACAAATAAGCTAAAAAAGTTGAAGATTTTATCTTTCCTATATTTCTAGCTGCCTCCACACACTCCTTTCAACCCGGGGCCAGCCAAATAAAGGAGATTAACACTGAGACAAGGAGGTAGCAAGCATGAGGAGCTGTATAAATCCCTCCTGCCCCATACGCCAGATCTGTGATGGACATCCTCCCTCCTCAGCACAGCCATCACAGGAGAAAACGCACAGCAGGAAGAGGCTGCAAAGGGTTATGGACACAGGTTAATCTCCACCTTAATGAAAACATGGGATGCTATTGACAGTTGCAGAGTGGGAAACCCTTGCTCCGAGATGGTCTATAAAACCTTGTAGCTGGAGTTGGACTGCAGCTGGCCGAGGTCACTCAGGTGCCAGTGGTCCAGTGTTGGGACGATCTTGGCCCCTATCTGCCCACGTACCATGCCATCCGCGAGGGGGAAGACATTCAGAGAGTTAGGACGTTCCTTCCTGCTAAACAGAGAAACAGAGAGAGAGGAAAAGCCAATCTGTTAGCTGTTTACAAGGTTCATACCCAAAAGAAACAGCACACTAGCTCATGCGAAATATTAGTTATTAGAAATAGAATTGCACTCCTCCCAAATTAGGAGCTGGGTGGACTCCCAAACCCACAGCTCCATGGTGCTGCTTGTTCAGATCCAGGGTGTCTACAGGTAGAGCCAAGCATATTCCTAGAAAGTCTGAAGGGGTGAAGAGACCAAAACAGGCACAACTGACATCACCACCTCCATGCAATGTTTCAAGGAAATGCAGAAGTGCAATGAACTGAGCCAATTTAAACCAATGTGTCCTTTGAGATACAGATGTACTGTGGGAAAACAAGCCACAGCAGACAATCCCACAACAAAATGGTCATCACTGAATGAAGAAAAGAGGCTGAATTGAGTCACCTACATGCCACTTTTGTACATTCCACCCCAAACCTGGTTTACACCAACAGCAGAAATCAGTGGGTTTGGGATCATTTCCAATACTAAGCAAAAGAAGTAATACTTGCATTCCATGATCCACTCTCCATATCTAACTACAGTCCATCAAAATTCAGAATTTAAACAAACTCATAAATAAATACATTTTCTTCACCACTCTTTTTCTGGCAAATGCAGGTGACCAGCGAGCTGTGGATTTGATACTGAATATGTAAGCTGGCACAGATTTTGGGACCAAGTCCCAGTGGGAGAAAATATAGAGCAAGCAGTGGAGGTGGAAATTCAAAGAAAGGAAGTGGCTTGTCAGCATGAACACTCCAGAAACAGGGCAGCAGTGGGCACCTCCTTGCGAAACACTGATCTGCTTCCCTCTCCACCAGGCTCCACACCAGCCCAGTTCAGTGCTGCTAAGGGACATAGCAATCATTTTGCTAAAATTCAGCTTAGCTACCACCATCACAGAGTGGGACCAGGTGGCCTCCAGAGGTCCCTTCAATCCAAATGTTTTGTGATTCTGTGGTCTGTGACCATGGGTGAAAACAACTGCAGCTGCACCTAAGGCCGCCCCAAGACCAACTCAAACACACTGACACAGGGGCAGAAAAGAGTTCATTAACAAAGCAAAAGCAAAATGTCTAACAGAATAGAGAAATGCTCAGCCTTTCTGTTCTGAGCACTGCCCAGCTGACACGGCACGCTGCACTGCTATGCCAGTGTGGCTCCTGCTTGGAGTGACTGCTTGCTGTGGCCCATCTGGGAAAAGCAGGAGAGGCAAAAAGGGATTTTCACTGTGGTCCAGCAGGGAGACTTGGGAAACTTTTCTTAAGAATCCCCATTAAAATCTTCTCCTGAAAATCCTAAAGATTCACACAGAGAAATTTTGTAAATAAATCCTCTTACAAAAGCAGCACAGCTACGAAAACGATGGCCCTAGGGACATCACACTTCACAGCTGCATTACAGCTTGAGAAAAGTTCTATAGCTCTAAAATATTCTTAAAAATAATTTATTTCTAAAAAACAGGTGTCAAATTATCTGACAGTATACTATAAACACTTCTGAGATTATGGCCTAATTAGTACGGCCTAACATGCAGAAACTCAGGAGAAATGGGGCCATCCCAAACACATGCTGACTCTGATGTTAAATTATACCTCATCTTCAGGTAATTTGTCAGATCCCATTGAATGTACACAGACTACATGAACTTTATCATCTGTGCTAACAAAGAAGAGAAGTATGAAGTAACATCAGAAACTGTAGGATCTTCAGGGAAGTATTTTGATGTAGACTGCAAGGAAAGCTGCATTGAAAATTTCCACACTGTGTTTCTCTGAAAATACTTTCCAGCCTCTTCTGCATCTCCCAGGGAAGAGCAAAAACTGCAGGAAAACTAACTTCAGTTTTGCAGTCTTGATGTTGGTGTTACCAGTCCTCAAAGTAGTTCAGAATATCCTCAGGGTTGGCAGAAATTTTCAGTGCTGACTACAGCCCTTTGGAGTGACTTTCGTACACCCACGTCCTTCTGGTCCAGAGGGACCCTGAGCACTCGGTTATTTCTACTGTGTGTTGTGAGGAAAACAGCAAAAGCCTCTGCAGTGGCTTGCAGTAGCCAAAACCTGGATCAGAATGCTCCTCCCGTAACAGCCTAAAGCTTAGAAAATGTAACAGAACTACTGTGTTTGCCATCACTGCAAGATGGTAACTGCCCTCTTTGTAGGCTGGGTGTGCAGAACTCTGCCTCACCCAAAGTCAGATGTGCTTTCTGACAGTTACTGGTACATGCATTCCCTGCCCTGCCTAGAAAATATGCCTATTTTGTACTCCTATAGGAAGTGTTCAAGAAACGTGTAGATGCAGTAGGAAGGGTTGTGGTTTAGAAGGGAAATATTGGTGATAGGTGGATAGTTGGATTGGATGATTGGAGGTTTTTTCCAACCTTGGCGATTCCACGATTCTAATTAAAGGGAGAAAAGACAACTTTTTAAAATATTCTGGGAAGTGAAGTGCAGAAGTCCAATTACACAGGGATGATCCTGGTTTGGGACCTGCACTTTCTGCTTTTGAGTGCACACATCCTTCCCGATTTAGCAGCTTGCTGGCTCCCTCTGCACCAGCCAAGGGAAGCGTGCTGTGTGTGAGTGTAATGCAGATGTCAGTACACAAAGAGGGCAAACAGGCCTTTCAGCATCACACCATGGCCACCCAACAGCAAACTCCGAAACTATGATTAACAAAGTTAAGATGCAGCAGTAGGATTTACCTTTTCCTCCATGACTGGCGATGACTGCAGCGACAAACGTAACAGCCAAAACAGAGCAGCAATTGCACAAAAAGCAGGACAAAAAAAAACAAAACAACAACAACAATTAGAGAATGAAGGTCATGCAAACGTGCAGCCCTATCAGAGAAAGCATGTGCATGCATTTTTATTCTTACTACATGAAGGTGTGCACTATACTCGTCCCCCTGCTCAGATGGCAGTAGACACACACATACCCAGCATTTATTGCACTATCTTCTCTCAAGTGATAAGCAAGCATCCTTGGTGTATTTATGGCCTTATGCAAACATGTACCTACATAGACTATCATACAAAACACACCCAAGCACATCCACAGGTGAAAGCAACCAAATGCACTCACAAACACCTACGAAGACAGTGAGAGATTACAGCCATATCCCTCCCCAAAACACATCAGCATACCAACTCACACAGCTGTGCAGAGACACAAGAACACACATCCCTCAAAGGCACAAGCATACACAAACACAGCACACACGAACAGCACAAAGCTTGAAATGAAGGAAGACAACCCACTTTCCAGTTGTTGTTCCTACAGACTCAGATGGAGGCCTGGCAGGGGCTGTGACAGACATAGAGAGCTCCTCTATTTTTGCATTCTTCCAGGAACTAGCAATATGTCACATGTAAAAGCGTTCTTCCATCACAGAGACAATCCTCAGTGAAAGTTTTGTCCTTCACATCAGAGAATGGTGGTCTTACAGATACAAGCAGTAAACATTTCTCACTGTGTATTTCCTTCGCTGAACGGTAACAAAAAGCCACCATTAATTTTAGCTTTTTTCACAATTAGGGAAAACTCATCAGAACCAATTTCAAGCAGTCCTTTCCAAATTTGGCTGTTGATGGAGCTGTCAGGAACACGTGCTCTTGCAATCCTAAGAACAACCTACAACCTACTGGTTCTTTTCACACCATATCTTCTCTTTCCATACCCATCGTGTTGCCCCTGTTTGCCTAGAGAGGACACCATCTAGCTTCTGCTCTTTCTTCCCTGTATAGGTTTCAATACTTGTCCACTGGTATACTGGAAAAGCACCACCTTCAGATGGGAAGGGGCCAGAACGCTGGACTCCAAACACTGTAGTCTGTAATCAGTTTTATTCTTCTAGCCACTCTGACCCGACATTAATTTACTGTTTTGCAGAAAACATAGCACTGAGAACTTACTATTCAGCCCACTTTACAAGTACCACAACCTTCAGTTATTCCTCTCTAAAACAAATACATTAAGCCTCCCTCTTGGGGGTAGGAGTTTGTGCCTCTCTTGCTCTCTCCTTTTCTGTTTTACAATACACAGTCAAAACTTCTACAATCTGAACTTCTTCCCAGGCACTCCAATCCAGAAAAAGGAAGCCACAGCTTCCAGAGAACTTAAATTTCTTATTTCAAGACCTGACAATTCCTTCCGCTTTTTTTATCCCAAACCCAGTGGACTCCTTAGTATTTAAATGTTACAGATCTAAACATAGGGTACTAAAATATCCTTATTCTTCCCTTTTTCTAAACATATTTCTTTTTTTTTTTTCTTCATTTGAAATAATCTTTTTATACATCTCAGTGGCTTAATAGATTGTACTCAGTACAAATAGATTTATACGATGCTTTATTTGATTTATTACTTCTCTGATCAGTATTTATGGAACACCACTTTTTTTTTTCTTTCACAGCCCATGGGCAATATTATTGGTCCATACAATGTATCTGTAATGAAATGATTGCAATTGGAATTTTTGTGCTTTAAATTTAGTGTAAGGCTCCAAAAAATAGTGTTTTTATACACTGAATTTCATTTCGTACTACTGCCATTCTTTTAAACAGAGGCTGGTTCTTACCAGTTTGGTGCTATGAAAACAGAGGGAAAAAAAATCACTTTCTTGGGCATAAGTAGGTCTACTGAGTGACTGACTCAGAGAAATCTTCTCTTGAAGAAACTGGGGGAGAAGTTATATAAAGGCTAATGCATTTAACTACTCCAGTTTTGCTGGCCATCACACATACACACAGACACACACACACAAGTGAACGCCTTCTTCCATCTCCATCCATTTTATAGAT